GATAAACCTTGGAAACCACAGAACCAATAGAAAGCGATTGAGGACATAGAAACGAAACTAAACTACTTTGGAAACAATAGAAATCAATTGAAGTAATAGAATCTACTTTGGAAACAATGAAAGCCTTAGAATAGAAAAGCACAGAAGCCATAGACACCATTGAAATCTTGGACACTGAACCGACTGCCAACGGTTTCCATCTCGGCAGGATGTTGGCGGATTCCTGCCATGAAATTCGGCTGCTTCAACCGCTGTGCCAATGGCATGGCTGCACACGTAGCAAGCCCACACCAAGCGAGGTCTGGAACTTGACCATGGGTCATGTGAACAGATTTCCTTCCCTCTTATGGAGCCACTTGAGATCTCATTGTTCGATATTGTTTATGTCATGTTAATTAATGTGTATGTATAATATATATATATATATATAATATAATATAATATAATACAATATAATATAATTATACATAATTATAATATGCATATATGTTTTATCGACTTTTCAATGTAAATAGTAGACAAGCAAAGGCTTTGCATTGTTGCCACAAAACAACAAAAAGAAAGTAAATAAGCAATGATTCCCAGTCTCTCCAAACCTCAAAGCACAAACCAAATCCCATCATCTAGAGTCTTCCAACAAACAAACAAACAAACAAACAGGAAATCTGCAGCCACGCAAATGGGCATGGGTCAAAATTGCCGAAAATGAAACTATTGATTTCCAAATATGCTGAAATGTGTGGTGCCAGGTAAATTGTGCATGAGCTTCTGGTCCCCTTTTTCTTAAAAATAAAAAACATATATAATTAATTAATATAATACACTCACCATATTATATGCTGTAGATCATACTATATCAACACATCACTTGCGTGGGCACCTTTGGCTCTTCCTTTTCTTTGGTCCTAAATGGATGTTCCAGAACACATGTATTGCTTGTGCTTCAAGATCGCCGAACATATAGAAGAAGTAATCCCTACTACAATCTTGCAGGTGTTTGCATGTCCACCATGCTGGAACCTTAGTAAGGCTCTATTTATAAAAGTGAAGATCATCCCTCCAAACAATGATCATATGCGGCACAGCACTTGTGTTGTCCAATAGGCTACCCAAAAATCCAATGATTGAATGATCTAACAATAATACCTAATTGTACCTACAATGACAATAATTCACGTGGGAGTTTTTACTCCTCCATGTCCTCCATAAACCCATTTAATGGATCTTTGGCCACTGAACGCAAGCAGCCGAGAAACAAGAACTTGCACATAAACTCCACCGGGTCTTCAGGTTTCATCCTGTTGAGAACGAGATTCCCCGTTAATCGTGGTTGAGAACGTCCCCATGAAATATGGAGTATAACGGTTAGTATAATCCCCGAACCAATCATCAACCAGTTTAATAAGTTGCTGTATATAAACCCTACTAACTATAGATACTATAAATATCTAAAATAGACCCTAGTGACATTCGTAAAATAGACCCACTTTGATAACAAACTTGTGCACCATCCATGATTTGTAGCTGCCGACCATGGAACCAACCTTGTATCCCGTAAGTTTTGGTTGCAAGATGCTTCAAATCTAATCATGGATGGTATCACCTCATTAGTTGGAAACTTGCTACCCCTGGTTACTCTTATCCATGTAAGTACACCCTATGATTAAATCCCATCTTTCTATATCTTTCTTTAATCTATTTTTGACGATTCACTAACCCCAAAGTAGCTGAAACTCAATAGGCCAGCCTAGGGACGTCACGTGATGTCCTGGAGGCCCCACCAGGATGCTTTGGATTGCTGGGGAAACATCATGAAAGATCATGAAACACAGATATAAAACCATCGATCCGTTAAAACCCTCTCCACCATAAGTATGTCAACCATGTGTGCTGAATGTATCTTGGAGCCCTGTTCATCCAACAATCTACAGGTCCATCCATCAGCTGCCCTCATTGCATGCTGCGCCTCAGCATGGTGCGAAGACATTCCGCGAGCTTCTCTTCGATGCCGTGCTTTTGCAAATATCCCGTGGCCGCGTCCTGCGGTCAGTAAAACATGAGTCACCACACTAGGTGGATTTCCGCTGAATGGATGTAATCCAGTACACATTGAATTTTTGTTTGAATGAAATTATGATAGCTAAGTTGGCTTGCAACTTAGGTCAACAAGGGTATTGATATACCTGTACTATCTATACTTGGATGGGTTTATAAACCAATTTGGACCGGTGGTGGGGTGCTGGGATGATCATAGCAAGCCAACCAAGCTTTTCCTTCTCTGCATCTTACACCAACCTCAAAATAGATCCAATAATTGAAAACCAGGAAACCATAGAGTAAGAACTTGCAAAAAAAAACAATTACATTCGTCATAGGGGCATGTGTATGTAAGGCTTTTTACGGAGGTGTCATAAATTGGGAGATCCATACGTTTCAATACACAAATGGTCTAATTAATGACTTGGATGATTTGGGGGTACCACCACTATGACTTAGGAAACCCCCATATCAATATATACATATATATATATATATAATCACATATATATATAGTTAAAAAAAAACTACATCTCTTCCATAAACCCCAGCCCTTCTTCGCTGAAGGCACCAACAGCCGAAAACTGTGAGTCTTAAGTCGGATGATGTAAACATCATGGCCAGGATGCATCTAGGTCTGGGTTACGTCCCAAGGTCCAAACAATACCTATGAACCCTTAAAGTTTGCTGTTGAACATCACATTTTGCTTGGTTGCATGATGCTGGAAGCACATGTCTTAAACTAGTTGTTTTTTTTAAGATGACAAATAGCCCTAGATTTCAATACGATGCTTCATATGCTTCCCATCATTTCACCCATGCTTATGTCTGACAAAATCAGATTAAGTCATGTGAAATCCAAGGTTTTGCAGGCTCAGGATACAACCTTAAGGTCAAAACACGTCAACTTTCCCACGAATTCCATTTTTTGGATTGGTTAAAGACCTTATTTTGGTTGCTAAAATGATAAAAACAAACACACATGTTTGGTTGGTTAACTCTGTGAATGTCCGAGTTGATGGCTGAATTCCCTTATTTTTTGCTGGTGAAACAGTTGGTTCTGCTGGTTATCACCCCGCCATAGGCGCACCTTCGTCTCAGCCTCGATCTCGCGGCGTTGCTTGGCCGCGTCCTCGGGCTTCAGGTCGCGGTTGCAGGTGCTTACCTTGGAAAAAGGGCGGGCGCTTGAGCAAACATATCATGGGCTATATATATATAATTTTATATTATATATATGATATTGTTATATATTGTGATAATACTGGGAATATAATGGGACAATCAATGGTTAATAATGGTTATATATTCCGCGTATAATTGTAATATAATGAATGGCAAGACACTCATGATAGGATAGTGTCATTGTATTATATATATACTGGCATCATACCCCATATCACAATGGGAATATCATGGAAATTTGTCCATGATGAAAGATGAATGGAATCTTCCGTGCCATCAAACCTGGCTTAGCTGGGAAATCCCTGAACTAACCGGAGATATCTAGCTGGGAGAATCATCCTTTTTAACGGTGGATAATCTGCAATTAATGGGAACCAACTACGGGAGCATTTTATAGGACATATAAATTTATGCAATAGAACATATCATCAACAAACAAATGGTAAGGTTGACACAGTACGCGGCGAAGAATGCACTGGGGCGAGTTGACCGACATCTGGGGAGGGGACGCATTTGAAACATCTACCCGAAAGACTTCGTCTGAAACCACCCATCATGGACCAGTTTTAAGGAGGACAACCATAGCCAAAACTCGATGTTTTTCCTGGTCATTAGTCATTTGATGAGGCTTGAAGCAAAATCCATTAGGGAACGGTGCATTCCAAATGCTTTTGGTTGTCCCTGTGCATCCCTGCATCTTGTGCTTTAACGGGGTTGAATATCTGCAATCACAAATGTCACAAAGTTCCATAAGATCAGAAGTTTCTGTTCCAAACCTGGATGATTGTGTCAATTCATCCGATAAGTAATGCATGGTACGGCTCTATTGGGTCATCTGCCCAAGTATCTGCTCAATTATGAACACCAAACCTAGCGTAATATTTATGAACCCCAATTAGGATGGAACATGACAAATATTTGAAACCATTGACCAGGAAATTAAATGAAATAAGTACGGACAAAAAAAACACATGTCCTCTCTAATCCTACATATCCTGTAACAAACTTGGCCATTTCCAGCCGCTTAGGCTAGTATTTTCTCCCCAACAGAGCAGCAACATAAGCAATTGCTGTATTGTAAGTTACTATCACCACGGGGCTTTTGTTGGGGTCAGCGTATGTTGAGTATGTCAAAGTACCGTACCGTTTTTGGATGTTTTTGGTGGATATACAACTTATATACCCTCTGGTAAACTAACATAGCTATGGAAAATCACTATTTTTAATGGGGAAATCCACTATTTCGATGGCCATTTTCAATAGCTATGTAAACGTTTACCAGAGGGTAACAATGATATTCAAGTAGCAAACATTGGGACTTAACCGGCAATACTAGGCTATTGACACTCGTTGGTGGGTCACCCTGATCCACCTCGGGGATCTCAACTAGGGACTTCCCAGGGTACCCAACCACTCATCAGTGGTGAAGGCTAGCCATATCCCCTTATGTTTCTTGAATATTCTTCATCCTTCATGGGATGCCAAACAAAACATGCTGGGTAGCCACAGCACATCACAGCACAGTTCATTTGTCGCAATCGCTCATACTTCCATTTGGGGCATCAGCCATGACATACAACTCAAGATGCCAAAGATCCTACAGGACACAAGACGAAGTCCACTCATTTAGTTGTTCCCATATGTTCCCATAGCTACCCGGCAATTGTAGTCGTCTAAGAATTGGTTCAACCGCACGAAATGCTCTGGAAAGTCTGATGTGAAGTTGCTTCTCACGCACATCTGTTTCAATACCATCCAACAATGTCCAACATATGTATTTCACAGAGCCGGACACATTCTCGGACAAAATCCCGATGATGCCACGATGAAAGTGGTCGGCTTCGGTGAATATGAGATCTTCTGGAAGATTTTAATCATCCCGTTGGTTCGATGAGCGATTGCCATTGCGTTCGTCCGCAACCATATCGTCAGCCTTCCATACTGCAGGGATCTCTGAGAAACTTGCATAGCGCAAGGCATTGCAACATAGAGGCGGGTAGCCGGGTAGCCACAACCCCATCATCGCCCATCTATATCCATCTGCAGTGTCATTGTGTTACGGTGAGGTAGTTCTAAAACTAAATCATACATAAGATAGGATAAGCCAAGTTTTTACAGTCAACTCCCCGTATATATTTCCATGTATGTCCAACAGATTTAATATGTTCCATGGAGATCTAACAAAGACAATCAGTTTCACCCCTTCACCCACCAGCTACCCACCAAGCCAAAGCTACCCGCAACTTGACGATATCACTGGAGTCCCCTGAAATAGCGTTGACCTGGCACCAGGTGAGACATTCCAACCTTCCATGAGGATTTAGACTGTGGATGGTTTGCGAAATCCTGCACCAGGCAGGGCAACTATTGGAAACTATGAAATGGTATATAGGTAATTGGACTATAATGGGACAAATCATCTGCCAGATGGTGCAGGATTTCTTCCATCCACGGTATGGCTGTGACTGAAAATGGGGCATACCGCAAAAACAGCATTTTTACATATGTAATGTTACATTCTACTAGCGAAAACATAATGATGTTAAAAAGGTGGAATTGGATGGAACTGGGAGGCTCCCCATTGTCAAACAAACCCATGATCTCTAAACAACATTAAACAATAACATTAAGGATTCTGCTCAGGAGATGATTTGACCGACTAGTAACTAGTACGTACCAAACATATGGGTACAAAAAGGGGTTCAGCAAGCAAATTGGGCCTTTACCAAGACCTTCCGAGACTAGCGGTCAAATGGGGACTTTGCATGATGTTCCAACCAAAAACTGGAATCTAATCGTTGCTTGACCCCAATTTTGAACTCAGGTGGATTGAATCAACTGAAAAAGGGGCTTCAAGAACAAACAAAAACTAGGATAGACACCAAGGTCTTTGAACAACACGTCCTGATAAGACACATGGGATAACATGATTCACAAAATCATGGAATATAAACTAGATTCATTTAGCATCCAAAAATAAGGATCTAAGCACATCAGCCACCAACAACCAAGGCGGCCGAAAATTGAGGAGCCACATTTCGAATAAACATGGTCTGTGTTAATCCTTACCCTCTTGTAAACCAAACGTACAGTCGCTATTGAAAACCCACACTTATCCAGCATTTCTAGATGATTTTCCTCGGGAAAGCATGAGTTTTTGCTTTCCTTTGCAGCTCAGAACACCAGGGCTATGGGAGATTTTGTATCTCCCATGGAGTTGATTTGCATCTGGTTGATGGTTGACCTACCCCTCTGAAACATATGAGTTCGTCAGTTGGGATTATGACATTCCCAACATATAGAAAGATACAAGCCATGTTCCAAACCACCAATCAGTCATGGAAAAAGAAAAAATGTTCCAAACCACCAACCAGGCATGCATGAACATCTGCTCATGCTCAATGGTCTGAGCACGCTGATTGATCCTGCTTCAAAGAGCTTTCTTCGACTCATTCTTGTTGATGCCCAAACAGTCAGCCGCTACTCTCAGCAAAACAAGACCACTGCCCAGAGTGATCGTCTCACCCTCATCATTTTTGTATGTTATCCGGTAGCTATTAATTACCAGAGATATTACCACAGGTCTACCAAAGTTATACAGTACCGTGATACCCATATGGGTTTGTCTGAAAATAGTGTATCTCATATTCCAATGGATTATCACCATGTTCCCCATTCAAATTACTATTTGTGGGTATCCCCTATTTTCAGACAAACCCATATTAACCTGGGTGTATGATCTTTTAAGCCATCCCCACACGCCAGCAGACAATCGGCCTCCTCAGTCCCATTCGCAGCCTCAGCAACTGCCATGGTGATTCATTGGGCACCCTGACCTGGGCCCTAAATAGCTGGGATTTCTTGATGTTCATCATGCGAAATATGAAAAAACGGTGTTAGTCGTTGATTCATCCGCAACTTGCTGTTGTCGTACCCTTCCACTGCTTGGGCACGGTGGATTCTCATGTCTCTTGATATTTTGCAGTTTGAGATGCTTTTTGGTGTATGATCCCCATCACGTGTCACCATCATTGCCGGGCGAATTTCCCATTCGGACACTTCGAACATCTTCGAATCATAGTTCTGATGTGCACTGTTTTCTAAGTGTAAAGTTACGTGCGTTCGACTATGAACACCACTTTAGTTGGTTCCTATGGTCCAGGTTTATAGGAAACATAGGCCAAATCATATCGACACCAGCCAACAGGGGTTCAATTGTCACTCCTCAGAGCAACCACTGAGGGCCAATTTTGCTCCCTGGTTTTGCAGATTTGCTTCCAACATGATATATATATAGATATATACATAAATTGGGGAAACATGGGGTAGATAGATAATGAGGTATGCATTAGGTATAGTAGGTAATCAGGTAAAAATCGAGGGTAGCAAGTGATACACACCAGCCATCTACCGCTGCCAATGGCAATCGCAGCTGTATGGGTCCCCCTTTTGGCCGAAGGCCAAAGGGATGTCATAGATATCATATGAACACAACCTCTATGCACGTGTTCTGCAAGTATACACCTAATCATAATCAAAACTCATGAATATAATAAACGATATATAATATATGTACAGTGCATAGGTTTATATATATATATAAGTCGTAGACAATAAAACAATTGGTATAATGGGTGGGTAAAGAAATCTTCCACCCTGGCCATGTCCAACCCTTCAGAAATTCACCAAGTGGCTGGATCCACGGGAACTGAGCAGGTACCCACCAATTGGTACACATCGATACGCGCCTTGCCCTTCTCCTGCCGAAAATGGGAGGATTGGAAGCGAAATCTGAGGGAAAAACTGACTATACTAGGGTTCTTAGGGCCTAATAAGAGGGTTAGTAAACTTATGTAAACATTGTTTATTATTGTTGTTGTTTAACAGTCATATTATTACAGTTGGATGCATACTGGGCAGCTAAATTCACTTTTATTCACCGAGTTACTGGGCTGTTTGCAGCTGGAGATGATCCTACCAGTGGGTAGCCGAACATTTGGATCCCATGAAGTGTGTTGCTCAGCATATGGGGATGCGTAAGCACCAGCTACATCTGCAAATGGACAGCTCAAGTTGATGGAAGCAGTTCTGGTAAATACAGTTCTGGTAAATGCAACAAACCAGCATCGGGAATCCCGACATAAAGCAGCAACTAATAAGGAACCAGAGAGGGACAACAAATATTACATCAATGGATATAACATGATGTAAACTGATATGGATACGGGTCAAAACCATGGTATGTACCCTGGTGAACACCAAGATAGATGGGAATGGCTGTTCATCCCATTAGAAATGTGGTAGAATGGAATTTGATCCATCCCTATACCATGATAATACCATGATAATACCATGATAATACCTGCTAGGATTCAGGATGCAGGCTAATAGCTGCTAGGATTCGCAGGCTGCTATCGTGCTTCAGCACCTCATCGATGATATGGTGACTTTTGCAGGTCGGAATTTCGGAGCCATTTCCCAATTTCGGGTGACCATCACCTGCATTGCCACCTCTGCTGCTGTTAGTGCCAGCAGTGGTGAGGAAGATCGCGCAACCCGAATTAGCTTGGCATTGACCTCATCTGCTCCAAACACATGTGCCATGTGTATAAGCTTCGCAGGGTGCCATCCAGCGCATCATTGGCCAATCTCCCTTGATCTTGACCGTTAGCCCGGCGAAAGCTGGCGCTCTTCCGAAGGCATCCCAGGGCGGACCAAGTACGGTGCAGCTGGGCAGTCCGAAATTATATAGAGTCGTTCCATTGACCCTTGCTTGAAGTGATATGAATATACACATTTCTTTAAATCTGTTTAAATAGATATTGGTTTCAAAGGAGAAAGAAGAGAAGAACAGGGAAGAGAAAAAAGGGTTCCTGACAGTTCCCCCCTTGTATGAAATAGTCATCTCAGAACCAAAACCCGAAAAACAACCAAAGCTAGAGATGGTGCAGGGAAATTTAATAATATATAACTGGTCTTGAAACAATCATCTGATCTTTTTGGTTTCTTGATTTTTTCTTGTGGATTACCAGGCCACATTTCAAATTGTTATGGGTCAAAGCCCTGGTACACTTCCGTTCACACAAGACTAGCTATTGTTCATGGATGTTCATCCACCCCCATTCATATGGTATTTCATAGGCGACTTGACCCATCCCAAAATCACAAAAATTCCCTGGAACGTGGTACATCCTGCGGCAGGGGGAAGTAGTACTTCGCGGTGGACTTGTTGAAGCGACGCCTGGGAAAATGGATGGTGATTTTGTTCAACCCAAATAGGAAGATGATGCAAGATGGTGAAGGGAGGAGAACAAAACCAATGACTTGTAAAATACCCAAGTGCTCTTTCGAACAAGCTATATACTATGTGTATCTATGTGTTCCTCTGTTTTCATAGGATACCAACCATAGTGTTGCTCTGCCACAGTGAAGCTGCGGCCAAGTTGCTGCTTGAGATTTTCTCCAAGTCGCACCGCCACGAAACCTGAGTCTGGCTTCATGGGAAAATCTTGAGTTTGGCCTTCAAATACCACAAGGAGGTCCCCAATAGTTGGCTAAGTTGGTCTTTAAGCCCATGCAACTGTAGTTTAGTTTTTATGTATATATTATAATCACCGCACACAACATACTATAACCAGTTACTTAGCTAGCTTTGAATCATCGCCAGGTGACAGCCTTGTGGCACCTCACTGGCCGCCTCGACCAAGACTTCCATGGCCTCGGACAAGTTGCACGAATTGAGAGAAATCATCCATCATTTTTTTTTAGGACCGGCATGTGGGATACTCTTTTCTGGTTAACTTGGGTGTTTCCTGAAATAGGACCTAGTGCATTTGGATTATTTTTTTGGAGGGGTGCTCTAACTTGGGTGTTTCACATGAACAGCGGATGCGATTACACTGAGTAAACACAAAACCCTATATGGATCCAGCCGCACCTTCTGAGGTCTTTGGGGAGATTCGAGGTATGATTTGCCATCTCACTAATTACTTCTCACTAGCACATCATTCACCATCGAATCTCAGTTCCGTGCCAAATCGAATGGCACAAATCGGTACCCGGACACCGGAGAAATCTCCGCCGCTGCGTGACGCGCTGTTTGACCAAATGCCGCAGTGGATGTCTTCCAGGTTGCCTCCCCTGCTGGGTGGCTTCAAGCAGACTTAAAAGGAAAAACTATGAAAATCCATCCGGAATCATGATCAATGAAAAATTAAATGATAATCCAGGTTGGTCCGAAAATGGGATATATCTGACGCCAAATATGTATCCTTTTTCATGCGGGAGTTTTTCAACACAAACATGTCTGGGAACATCTGGGAACTGACTAGTGACAGTGAATGATCCAATTTTGCGAGAAATGCGAGTAGCCATATGGCAGCCATACTAAGGAAAACCATGGAAAAAAAAACATGTTAGAGGTTTACTTGGTTCCCATTCCTGATCTCCAGTTGTATCCAATCATATTCTGTTCCCCAAGGTACCCCAGTAGGTATGTCAAATCAGCCGCAACACTTTGCCACCTTCACTAAGCTAAGATAATTTCTGGTTGGTTTCCATTGGGTTCCTGCCGCTTAAGCATGTCAAAACTTGCTTGGACGCATGGTATTCATGCCTGCATGTTGATAATTGTTGGGGTAAATGTAGGTGTATGTATAAACATAGTAATCGCGCGAAGATTACACACGTATGGCAATGTGGCAAGCCCAAAACAAGCAACTATGCCACAATTTAACAGTTGGGTGAGTTTTCAAGAAAAAGTCCAAAACAACGTGGTACCACATGATATATATATATAAGAGTTTATCACATATATTGACATATATACTGTATATGTAATCCTGTGAAAACAACACTTGTTGTGGTAAGGAAAAAACATGTGTTGAGATTGTATGAAATTGTATTTCTTAAGTGGAGGATCCCGAAAACCGTGGGTTTCAATACTAACATGATCCAATATTGGATGATTTGAGGTCCCCCCGGTTCAAGAAACACCCCAAGTTCCGCATTCGCATATTTTTTCTCCGTCATTTCGACATGTGACGGACTGACACTCGATTCGAGTCGCACAGAAGGCTTTCCACGGCGTATCGAATGCAAGCTACATTGAAGGAGGCCTGCCACCCTCCAATGCGTCCAATAAAAGTATGAAACCCTGAAACCAACACAGTCGCGGGTACCTTTTGGGAATCAAATCTTTCTCTGGTGAACCCATGATAGTTTCATGAAACCAACAAATAATCCAACAATCATGAAGTAATTTAAAACACCCACCCACAAATAAAATCAAAGATTTAGAATCACACGATGATAGATATAGATAGATATATATATATATGTAATATCAAAATCTAATGTACAACCAACAGAAGTGGGCATCTCTTAAAAGTTGGACAAAGTGGGACTACAATCCCTTTTGACACTGTTGATTTATCGACATATCCCTGGTAGAAATAAACTTCTGGTGGTTTCAACCAACCCCAAACATATGAGTCATGTTGGATCATCCCAAATTAGGCCTGCAAATGAAAAACACAATTGACTCCCTCAACAAGACTGGGAGTTTAATTGGAGTTTATGCAGTCAGAACGATTCTATCCCGCTGTAGTGACCTAGTGGTGCTTAAAATTGTCAGTATTCTCCGTTATTTGATGGCAGTGTGACGTAGTTTGAAATAGATTGAAACCACCTACCATCTGAGAGTCTGAAAATCGGAACCCCAAAATCAGCTAATCATCATTTTGGCCCCTCAGAATCAACATTTTGGAGTTCCCATTTTTGGACAAAGCCATGTCTTGCAGCCATCCTTCTGTCGTGCCCAACTCGAGGTTTACTCCGCGCCACGGTGGATCAGCATGGTTTTGGCGCAGAAGGCGCGCCACTGACATTCCTCCGGGATCCGAACATGGCTATCCTTAGATGCCAAAATATGCTAAGTCAAAGGCTGGATGAACAAAAAACTCAAGCTGTTTCATCAGTTCAATCCGCATCGAAAGATTCGAAAGTACAAGTGCACCTTAGGGAAATTCAGGTGATGGACAGAAACAATGTGCGATGTCTGTGAAAACTTTAGCATGCAGCCTGAAAGATGGGGTGCGCATAGATGTTTTTCTTGTTGGAAGTCGTAATGGTAATTTATCTGGTTCCATGTAAAATTCTAGGGTGAACTGTGCGACAAACCCAATTGAAGTACACACACATAACTGGGTTACCTAGAGAACTGCTTGGTGGATGTAATACCACTAAACCTTTTTGGATTAAGACAGTGTTACACTGCTCCGGTAGCTATTCTTGACGTGTCGGCACTTTTACATTTTTCAGCATCATGAGCCAAAACCAAAGAGTACGTAATGTCAATAATTAGTGAAAACGCAAATTCGAAACAATCTCCAATATTAGGTCCATAAATGGGTGGTATGCACTCCCAAAACGGTAAGTATGGTAAGTTCTTTTATTATTTTTATTGCGTTTACCACATGATATACACTGCATGGATTCTATGGTATTACATCATTTTACATCCACCTGATGTTTTTGGAGAACCACTGATCCACACCGTGGCGTCTCTGTTTTTTTTCGTGGCCACAACCGTGGAGCTACGTTGAGCTGCTGCTCGTCTTCTCAAGCCGATCCGCACGTTTCAGGATGTCCTCAAGCCGATGGCGTGCAGAAGCAGCTCGCTCGGCATTGGCTAAGATATGCTGGTAGATGGGGATGGGTCAAAACCTTGTACCCCTGGTGAACCCCAAAATAGCTGGTAAATGGATGTTCATCCCACTAAACATTTATCTATAGGTATTGACCCATACCCAGATTAAATCTCCATGGTTCACATTGTTTCACCATGTGCCATTGTATCATATTGTATCAAAAATTGATTTATATCTGGTGGGTGGTTGACCTACCCCTCTGAAAAATTCGAAAGTCAGTTGGGATCATGAACTTCCCAATATAAGGAAAAAGAGAAATGTTCCAAACGACCACCAACCAGATGTTGTATTTCCCAGCATTTTATCATGTCATTTTCCCCACTTTCACCGTGAAGGGCCCAGGTCCACAGCGTCCTGGAACTTCACGATGTGCTCCAGGAAGACATCCGCGTGCGGCCGCTGCGGCTTCTGCGCATTGATGTGCACCTGGCGACCAGGTCTCAGCACTTGATGTGGGGATGGCTATGGGGATTTGGGGAATAAAAGTGAGGGGACAACATTGGGATATAACTTGGTGTATGGGTATGAATTGAGTCATTGGGGTATCTAGTAGAGCAAGAAACTGAACATTCATATTATTGAAAACATCAGTTTGGGATGTTGATGTTAAACGATTTTGATATACCCACAGAACTTCAGTAGATAGGGTGACCTTGCTGGCATGATCCCTCCAAATGAACATCCCAACGTCCACAAGGATGTCGTTTCGGGACACAAAAGACTCGTGACCGGTTTGCCATAAATTCTTCAGCGACAAACAGCTGTGGCTAGGACCCATGAAGGTCATCAACGACAAACATTGATATTTTGTTGGGAAGATCACCTTCAGTGGTGTCACCCTACAAAGTTATGAATTACCCAACAAATCCCAACAACATATGAATTACCCAACAAAATATTGAACTAATTGGTGTTTTCACCCTCAAACAACTTTGAGTCCTGGGGGATCATCATCCCATTTCTATGGTTGAACATCAACCAGCCAAGAACTCCGCACGGCTCACCATATCACCATCCAGGTAGAACTCCACTTCGCCGCAGGGTTGCAGGGCCTTAATTTTGAGGCGCCGCAGAAAGGCCCAACAATGCCCAACGTTGCTTAAGGGACATGAACATGTGTGTAAGATGAGTTGTTTGCTGGGCGCCATAGGAACGAGCACCATATGAAAACTATATCCAGGTGCACTTGTTTCCCCGTTGGTGGATGTCTTGGACCATCAAAAATCCATGGTTTGCTTAGGAGTCACCACCATGTATGGAGAATGTATGGAGCCTGGTCGGTGATTTGTCATGAAAACATGGGTCCCGCCAATAGGTGACCCTAACAAATATAGATGATGAAGATTCGCCCCCTTTTCAACGTGGTTCTTGCTGAAAAAGCCATTAATTAATACACCCAACCATCGGGGAGGTCCCCAATTATCCCATGATATACCCATCACGATTGGTTTTATACTTTTTTTTTTTGGTGGGAAAGTCCCATAATTCTAGGGTTGGCACTGTGGATGGTAGAATTCCTGCACCAGTTGGTAGATGATTCCCTAATTTGTCCCATTATAATCCCAGTATTTACAGTGAACAGTTACCCTCTGGTAATCTAACATAGCTGTTGAAAATCACCAGGTTTAAGTTCGGTAAATCATCTATTTCAGGTCCATTTTCCATCGCTTTTTCTATGACCAGAGGCTACCAACTGGGGATTTCTTCTACAGGTCATCCAGCGGTGCGCCAAGGTACGCCATCCAGTGGAGTGCCTTCCTTCTGGTGAACCAACTGCCGTGTCTTGTGCATGACCTGAGGGAAGATCCAAATCTGTATCCCGGGATCATCCGGTGCTGGATGAGAATTCTTCGTTCACTCATTTCAATAATATTATATTAATTATAGTCTATATTAAATATATAACAGCATACATATATATATATATAATACATAATGGCTTAACAAATGTGTTTAACCACTGCCAGGTTAAGTCCATGAGGTCTTCATATCCCCTGCTGGCCCCGGACGCACATCAGCTGATCCCGCAAGCCCTCACCGTCCATCTCGCACAGCTGGGCCAGCCTGGCCATCCGGTGGTGGTGTCGGTTTTTTAAAAGGGGAAGGGGAAATCCCAAAAAAATATTGGGAAATCTCATGGAAAATCTATGTGGAAAAAAAAGGAACATACGCTTAGGTGTTCGTGTGTTTTTGTAAGAGCAAAACCAAATTGGGAATGTGAGAAACTGCATTTTGATTCGAGTATTGAATATTGCAAATTGCGTGGATGTTACACAACTAGTTATAACTCAAATGAGGTGTTTTCATGGCCCCAAGTTGTGCAGGTTGGTATAGATCAGGTCAAGAAGGGGTAAACAAGACAAACTACATCATTAGCAAGGATACTATGTAGAAACTTTGGATTATATACAACACGTCTACAATATATGATTCTAGCTTAGATTGGAGTACTGTACATGTATATATATATCATAGATAGATAATTATAGATAGATAGATTCACCGCCAAGCAGTTTACCTTTCATGAGAGTCGCCCCGAAAAAAAACATCGTTGGGTTCCAGGTTTGCGGGCCCTATTTTCCACCAGGCTTTGGGATGTTTCTGGGGCTGGCTGCCAGAGGCACTTGGAGGTCTGCAAGGAGGTGTAGAGCTTCATATAGGATCCAATGGTCGGAAGCGCCTGCTGCTGTCTCACCTGCCGAGATTTCCCATCTTCAGAAGGTCTCCGGGGCCCTTGACCCACAGCCCGCCCTTGACTGGCCGACTTTGGTCATTTGTTTGAGTAGTAACCTTCCCATTATGGGTCCCCAAACGTGAAGCCTTACATGATAGGCCGTCCGGTATTCCTTTTGCAAAATATCTCTCAATTCTGGGATTCGACATGTAAAGTGTCAAGGCTTGAGATACCCATAACACCTCAGCTTTGGTGTTTCGCTCAGCTTTTGTGGAAGTTCATACGCAGTGTATACCTGGACTGGATACAAAACAAACATTTGCATATACCTGGACAAAACCAAACTACCACAGTTCCTAAACTGGACATTCCTAAACTGGACATAGACCATTATTTGGATTTATTTGGAACATTTTCCATACTTGCTATCATTTACATTGTGTGAGGTCAATGTAAGCTGTTCAAACCACATGTCATATACATGTACAGTCTGCATATGTATATTATTAATATGTATAATATTAATATGTATAATATTAATATGTATGTATATATATATATATTCTATATTGTATTGGTTGTGGCTGAACTCTGAAAGAATGAACAATTTTTTTCATAGGATAATGTTCGGATGATTCCCCCTACCGGTATCATACATCGATGTATCCATTTCAGTTGATTGAATCACACGAATCAGTTGATCAAGTTTTCACTGGTTAAACCCCAAGTTTTCCTGATGAAAAACATGGTTAAGCCATGTTAAGCCACCATTTCTCTTGATTGAATCGCACAAAAAATGTGCTATCTTCAGGGCTCGGTTTTTGGTTGCTCCGCGCAACCTCCTGCAAGAAGAGGTGCAGCTGCCGCTGATGCGCTTCGTTTGCGTTGAAGTTGTCTAAATCTGGGTGGAAATGGCTTGAGAGATGGATAGATGGCCGAATGTGACTGAATGGATTCAACTGCGAGGAGACGAACTAGCAAAAAAAATGGTATATGCCATGATATGACCAGCCATTATCGAGAAACATGTTCCAGCCGGATCCAAAGTTGTCTCCAAAATTGTAGGCCTCTGGAAACAGCAACGTCTGCCTTTGGAGAGGCAAGTTGACCCATGTGAAAAGTGAATATTGTACGATATTGTTGCTCAAAGAGTGTGATCATATGAATCATATGCCCATGGTTGTTGAATCCTCGTGGCTGTCAAAATCCTTACCTTGAACCATTTTTGGGAGTGCCTGGAGATATGTTTAAACACAAGATTCCATACCAATCATCGGTGGATCAGATCGGAATGACATGGAATGAAATGGAATGAATTGAAACCCTGGAGCTCTGCTTTTTGCGCCACAAAAAAAAATTCTTCTTGTGGATCTTCATCCTTTGAAAGAACCTGCTCCCATAATCATGGCCAATTCCCATCCACTATCGACTCGCAAATCTGGGTTTGCCTGAAAATCGGCTTCCTCCAAAATCCAATGGTTTGGAAATCTTCAGAACCTCAAGTTCCCCCCTCAAACAGTCATGGTTCTTGGGGTTTTTATATCTTTTTAGTGTCCCATTTATCCAATCATTGATCCAATGTTCAGGTCCAAGTCCTCGACCCATCGATCAGCTGAGAAACTCTCCAAATCCGGCATGGATGCGGCCACAAACTTTGGACACGCGTACGAGAACCAGTCCTGTCGCGTACGGAGAGCTTCCGTGGTGACTCCCCGCGACATGGATGGAACTAGATGGAAGTGACCTGGAGAATGTGGAAATGCCAGCCCCAGAAAAAATGGTTGTTTGTTAAATTTTGTTCATGGAAAATTGATGATGAAGTGGATGGAATTGGGGGAATTGGGGTGTTCACACATACTGTATTTCAAACGAAGCCATATGTCTTTGGGCAAGTTGCAAGAATTCCATAATTCCCAAGTCAGAAATAGGTCAATTTTGCAACGCTTTCTCTTTACTGACCGATACTCGATATTTACACTATACGGGAATTCGAGAAGGACCAAGGAGTTTGATGTTACGGGTAAGGGATTCATTAGCTTTGCATATTACCATGAGAAACAGGCTTCGATTGCACTCTTAGTAGCTGTTGTTGGAAGGAGTAGTCTAGAGCAGCTTACTCTGGACAGAGCTTAGGGTGCCATTAATAAATTGATTTACCACCAGCTGTGGTGAAGGTGGGGAACCCTGCCAGAAAAGAAGCTTTTTAGAATCCCCAAATTTGCATTCAATGGTTGGACATCGTTGGGGGTATCCTTTGATACCCCATTTTTGCATGAAATGACATGAACATGTCCCATGACTTTGGTTGCATAGCTATCAAAACCCTTAGATACACCTTTTCAAAGAGTGAGACACACACACAGAGTATGATTCTTGTCCAATGACCGCCAAAAGGTATCCATCCACAAACCATTCACTACAGTATGGTAGGGTTTGAACATGTTGAAACCATAATTTTCTTGTGGAGTCCTCAGAATCCTCAGCACCCATTTGGGTGCCAATTGAAGCTGTGTATTATTAGTTAGTTATGTCACATTATGTCCGTCAAGTGTATTCTGTGCAAGACAAAGATGGTACTGACCCTAGATACCAACAAGGGTTAACTCATTGAATTCACTACGTTGATGTATCTGCGTGCACTTGAAATATCGTCAGTTTCTTTGTTGAAATACACCTGAATTGCCCGGTGAAAACCGGCAGCCATCGATCCACACAAGACGCAACGTGACCTGCCGCCGTCACACCTCGAAGTATCCTTCCACGCCCTGCTGAAGATACATCTGCTTGTCTGCGGCTGGGATTGGATCCAAGCGATGGATGACTCGTTGGAGCTGTCTGGGACCAAAAGAACTGATGGTTTCACCGAAAAAGCTTCATCAACAATGGCCCTGAATTTGCCCTATAACACTGTAGTTGAGTATACCACACAGGATACATATATTGATCATCTATATGGATATGATTGTATATGTTTATAGATTTGATCAAATCCGTGAAGGGCGAGCAACTGGCCAGACTATTCTGTTCACCTTTTGGGGTATTCACCAAAGTCATTATTTTGATTGCCTCTCTCCCTAGCGTTTTCTTGCTAATAAACTTCCAAATCATATATCAAATACCCAATTGGTTCTGTGTCAAATCCGCATATCATTTTTGTTTATGCATTATATATATATATAACTATAACCAATTTAATCCAGGTAAGAAACCACAATATCATGGCCAATATCTATATCTCCCCAAAGAAAGATACTCGACTTCAAAACGCATCCTGGACATATCCAATAAATGTATATAATATAAACTGGTTGGTGGTTGACCTACCCCTCTGAAAAATATGAAAGTCAGTTGGGATTGTTGTTTCCAATATATATATATATGGAAAAATAAAACATGTTCCAAACCACCAACCAGATATAATATAAATGTGTGTGTTTTCCATGTGTTTTCCATCTAAATATCCCCCCATCTTCGTTGTTGGTCATCCCCACCTGCGTGCTTCTCGCGGATGGGCTTCTCTAGGGACTCATCCAAAGGCTGCGGGCACAGCGCGTTGCAGATCAGCAGCAGGACGTACATCTGGTCCTGCTGTGGTTCGCCGAACGCCACCAAGTCAATGGAGGTTGAGTTTGTTGGGAAAATCAACTAGAAATAATTAATTACTGTAGAATTGTAGAGATATCTATAAATGAACTATAAACATCCATAAATGAGAGATTATAGCTGGGATAATCAACTCGAAATATCTAAGAATGAGATATCTCCCAGCCACGGTTGACTACCGGAGGGTACATATAATCTATTGCTACGTACAATCTGTAAATTTGCATTGCAAGTATAATATAAGTCTAATATCCAAGTAGAAAATTATGTAATTTGGTCATATTTGGTTCAAATCCTCCAAGGTGTTTGCTCCCAAAAAGTAGTTAAGTGGGCAAGCAGTACTCCAATATCCAGAGTTTCAAAAGTGTTAAACTACAGGCATCAAAGAGAGAACACTTCAACTGGGGGCTGATCCCTGAAATCTTGAAGTTTGGCAGAGGTATGCAGAGGTATTTTTTATTACTTTTTATCCATCGTCCATCTGCTAAGCCAAACAAAAACTATGGCAAGTCATCCAAATATATCTAAGTTTGTCTGTTCTATATACTGTCCTATGGCTGGAAATCCATTCAAATCCCCACCTTTACTGCTGGTCTACAGAAAATCATTGAAACTCCATTTGATTCCGGCTTCAATCTGGTCAATTCCCACTTTTGCTAGTAAAAAAACATCAATTTTATATTCACATCCTCAGTTTTGATGCGCAACACCCTGAGTTCCATTTTTTTTTTGTTGGTCCTGCTTCTTCAGCATCTGATCATACTGATACGACAGGGAGTTCACTGCGCTGATCTTCGACAGGAAGACCAAGATGTCTTGGAAGGTGCGCGAGGCGTCCACATATCTGCGCATCATCATGTACCTGGTGAGGAAAATGCGGAAAATGGTGACTTTCTCCAGTAAACAAATGGGGGATTTGCCCAAGAAAATGGAGGATTTATGCATATTTATGCCATAAAATTGCAGGAATATCCACACCAAGTTCCAAACCAAATTGCGGGATTTCTAGGATTTACCAAGCAAAATGGCTGGGATTTCAGGTGGGAAATTCTATGGATTTCGTGCGGCCGTGTGGATCTGAAGATTTAAGGAACAAAGCAACATGGTGGATTTAACCTAAGTTTCTGTGAACATAGGGTACCCCCAAATCTGGTGTCATGATTTTGTCATGATTTTGCTGATCGTCCCTATCTATGTTTTGCACGTTCGTTTGGTGTTCAATGTTTTTAAGGACAGAACATCTTTGAACATATCAAAGCATATCTAATATCCAATCAACTGAACAGATTTCACACAGCAAAAACAAAAAGTCTTGCTTTCTTGTTAAAACTCTATTCTTTAGCATCTTAAAACATGGGGATTTCAGCAATGAACATGTGAAGTACCCGGCCAGCTGGTGGGGATTCAATGAACCATTCAGTTAGGCCATGGGTGGAAAAGTCAACAAATCTGGCCATTGACCTAATTGCAAATTAGCTTGAAATCAACGCAAGCTAACACAACTATACATGCCAGGGTTCAAATCAAAGCAACAGGAACAAGGGGAAGAGGTTTGAACAAAGCATCCTTTAAACATACTTTCCATTTGTTTACTCTTCGCGCTGGGCTTCCAAACTGTAAATTGCAAATCACAAATAGTATTCACTATCACAATTAACTATCATAACGTAGATCGCAAACCTAAACTAAGCCCATTGATCAGGATTCCCCTGAGAATCACATATATGTATATATGTACATATATATATACATATAATATATATATATATACATGGGTTTCATTAGCCAGGAACTGTCATCTGGTTCCCACATTCCGACATGGGTTTGTCTTAAAATAGGGTAACCCCAAATCCCATGGTTAATCATCATGATTCCTCTTAAATGGCAAATTGGGGGTAATATCCATTTTCAGACACACCCATATATCTAGATGCCCCTCCAGATGCCATTGAAGACCCTCTGGATCGCAACATCCACTCTCTCAAATCCCGCTGGCAAATCAAATGATGTGCCCGTAGGGATCGGAGACGATCCAACAGTAGGGCATCTGGGCTCAGCATTGTTTCAATAGGGATGTTTAGGATCCCTGGCGCTCATTGGGTCTCTGAACATCAATTCAAGTTGATAAGTTGTATACCCTCCGGTTATTTAGCAGTCTATGGAAAATAGTCCACTTATAGATTATTTACCCACTATCTGTTAAGATGAAATCTTCAATTTAATGTTGCTCTAACAATTCAAACGTCTGGAAATCCAACATGACGTGCTGGAAAAACCTGTGCCACAGCAAATTATTGACCAACCGGACATCCCATGGATTTTCCAGTGCCATGGTTACCTTATCGGGTGATGCTTCATCCCGATCACTGATGCTTCATCCCAAACAAGGGGAAGGTGAAATGGTCATTTCAGAAGGGCATATCTTGCCCATTTCTGGGCAAAACGATTTCATGTTGTTGGTTAAATTGTCCTATCATATTCTACTATAACATCATATTACATCCCACTAGTTGTCCCAGGAAAAATCCCACTTCCGAAAAAAACGACATCCACCATGTCATCCCCATGACCAACCGGTCACGCGAAGCCCAGGTAGTAGAAGACGGTCACGTGGCACGCGGGAATGCGATAGAAGAGTGGCACCTGCTGGGGCCGTGCCATCGGGACATCGTGGGACGAAAAAAAGGTGCCGTTATCCCACGGGATTCCTTTAAAAAAAAGCTATTGAACATGGCCATTTATAGTGAGTTTACCCATTAAAAATGATGATTTTCCATAGTTGAGACGGGTTGGTGGTTTTAACCATCTTGAAACATATGAAAGTCAATGGGAAGGATTATCCCATATATGAAATGGACAATAAAAAATGTTTGAAACCACCAACCAGTATAGCATCGGTAACTTGACATACTAAGGAAAAGGGACCAGTTATTAATCTACCTATTCAACATAGTGATTTTCAATGGCTATCTTAAATTACCAGTCAGTAATTGCTAGTTGTGAGAGGATGACCATCCCTTTATAGGAGCATTAATCAAACAGGTTAATTCATGGCACATCTGGTTATTGGAGGACCCGGAGATCGTAATGGGATAACATCTGCTAACATTGGGTGTTTGAGAAACCAATCATGGATATCAATCTGCCTTTAACAGAAATTCTCTTGCTTTCTCCCAGGCCGTTACCCAATTTTGCCCATGATATTTCGGATCACCCAGGTGGACTCAGAAAAAATCCTGGGATCCTGGAAGCCACACACCTGGGAGGATCCAAGCGATCCAAGGTGAGAACGAGCACGGATCCGTCGTAATTTTCGGTAGCGTGGGGGTAGTCATTTGGTGTTGCTCCTCTTTAAGCTTTGGCAATCAAACAATTTCGCTGCAACCCTGACATTTAACCCCTCCTGTGGAAGGCTGGCGCATTTCCAAAAGTCTATCAGGTAAATCTGTTGTATAATATAAATGCGTATCCCATTCAATATATTGTTCAGAGAGGGCGCCAAATTTGATCCCTTATGAAGATAAGTGGTGGGCGAACGTCCGGGTTGGAGACAACAAATTTGATAAATAATAATATAATATAATAAACAAGACATGATCCCAACATATTGACAGATCAACCTACCAAGCCAGAGTTTACCCAGTGATTAGTTACATGTTCCGTGAAATTACGCCATTTAGCAAACCAGTCATGACCGATATAGCCCACCTCAGCCCTGAAGTCGATGCTCTCGATGGTTTCCTCAGCAAAATTCGGTGGACATCGGATACCCATGGAATTCCAATGGGAACATGCACATTCCAATGGGATTCCAATGGATATGCAGAATGAAATCATGTTATTACCATCTCAAACATGCACGAAGTCTAAGTTTTCTTGGATGGAATGGGATTCCATATTTTGAGACAACGTAACTCATAATTGGTAGATGTTCATTTAAGCCCCTTTACCTGTTTAAATTCCTGATTTTGTTGGTTAAGTCCCATTCGTTCCTGCATGAACATGCTTGAACTATGCCTAAGTCTGACATTCTTCAGGTTGATCTTCATTTTTTGGTTGAAACATTGTCTTGTTGCTTAACTTACCCCATCTGGTTAAATGATTCCCCAACTGTGTTGGGGTGTTGATCTCATGGAGTTATATAAATCACCATATTTCTCGGCGCGTGAACCCCTCCTTTCTGTGGCCTGTAATCTTTTCACCTTCAACAAAAAACAACTCAACTTGAGGTTCCCCCAGCACGTCATCCCTTATCCTAATATATTGCCTTATATATCATATCCCCCACATTATAATTACATTGGACCCATACCCCAAGTCATGAATATAGATCCAATACATGCCATCCACACCAACTTAAAACAGCTGGGGAAGGCCCTTTCGATCTACCGCCCGTCATGGATGTCATGGCACCATGGCAAGGCGGTAGTCGCCCAACAAACTGTGCATTCGCAGCAATTGCATCAGGGCGAAGTAGCCGATGAGTCGCGTGGACTCGTCCTAGGTTCCCGGACATGACCCCCGACCCCGTCTCGACCCCTGCGTATGCTACGGAAGCGCAGCTGGATACATGAGTGTAACATGTGTAACCATGGTAAAAACCCAACACAAGTAACCGACGTATCCAGAAGTCTGTATACTGTACATATCCCCTAGAACTATGATTATAAAACCATTTATAACTGGAACTGCAGCCTCAAGTAGGAGCTAGATAAAACGAGCTGAAAAGTACGAGCTATAGCCCTTGGCACATTTTTTGAATATTAGTTTTAAATAAATGATAATTCAAATATATTCAAATTATTGGATGATTTCCCATTGAACATGTGGCGTTTCCACCAGTTCCCATGGTTTCTGCGTCATTCATCCCATCCATGAGCCCCGGACAGTGAAGGCTGCGCCTCCCAGGAGCCATTTTTTCGGCATGGTCTACATGGCTGGTGGATGCCCTGCAGACAATCAACGTATAATTAGTATAATTATCATGTCCAAACTTATAGCGTTGAGATTTAAGGCACCAAAGTTTCCATCCCACGTTGACCCAAAGAAACGGGCCCGGGAACATGTGGATTTCAAGCTGGTGCCACTGGACCAAGCCGACCAGTCACCAAGCAGGGGGAGTGTTCAAAGAAATGAACAAATCTTAGCATGATTGCGACCAACATGGAAGAAATCAGAAAGATCGACCTATACAACTTGCTGGTCTGATGATCCCTGCTAAAATAATAGAGCCTTTTGTTGGCATATTTGGTTTGCATCCTTTTCTTTGCCACTCACCATCTGAGTGCTCATCCAGGTAAGTTCTACCCGGGTCCCCTCTGTTGAACTGACCTGCCAAATCCTGCCAATAGAATTAGGCATGGTTGTCTCAACATGTGGAACCCCCTTCAATCCCATGAAGACTACAAGTTTGGCGCATACATGATTTGAAAATAACATACAATAATATACAATAATATTAATAATATCAAATAAACCCGGATTGCATATTGGAATCATATTACTCTTGCAACATTGGTTTACCCTCTGGTAATCAAACATCGAAATAGCAAATCCACCATTTATACCATTTTTTGGCCATTCAGCCATGCCCCATTTGAGGTTCTGGGACTTCCCAGCGAACCAACGTTTATCTTTCCGCCTTGACCGTTGCCACCCTCGGGGTCGGCTAACCACTCTTCGATCAAGGAGAAGCGCACCAACTGGTGCAGGTAATTCAACACCTGAGCAGTGGGAGATGATGGCAGAATGATATGGACATATTTGATCATATTTCACTATATGGGGTTATAAGTTAAGTATTTTCTTCCAGTGATTCCCGCACTGACACATTATTCTGACATAGTTTCTGACATACCATCTCGAAGTATATATTGGATATACATTCTGACATTCTATGGGCAGTGCCCACTGACCTCTGGAGCTCACGGTTGAGGTCCGGCAGTGCCCACTGATTTCCGGAACTTGCAGTTGCCAGAGGAGGAGAAGAAGGAGAAGAAGAACGAGGAGAAGAAGGAGGAGAAGGAACTCTAATAAAATCTGGAGACCCTCACCTGGCAGGTGGGGCAGGAAAAAAACATAATTAATTTGAGCAAAACTAAAATAACAACTGAAAGAAAGAAAACAACAAAAAAAGGTAAAGCAAATATGACCGCAGATTTAGTCGTGTTCATTTTTATGCTCAAACAACGAACACTGGATGGAGCTCCAAACATGGGGATTTTGCTTTGCTGCTAACAGGACAGAAACAAACGAGGATGCAACATGATATTATGGGGATGGGAGTCAGGAGCTATGACTTCCCATTGTCTTTTTTGATATAATTGCAGCACTAGCATAGCTTTTAGAGTGCGGGTTAGTTGGATTACTTGTATCTCGGGAAACAGAAGCACCCTACAAATGAAAAAAAACAATCACAATCAAAATTGTGTGTGTTTCCTAAGAGTGTTGGGACTGTTCCGTTGCTCACTCTTTCTTTCAAGGATCGACATAGAAACATGGCAGAAACACAAACAAGAGAACAGAGCAGTATATAGTTTACTTTTTTCCACTATTGGCCAATAAATCACAAAGCATGCTCAAGCAAGGTTCACTCAAACAGGGGATTCAGGATTCAAACCCTGCAGTCTTGGCGCCAGCTTGTTAGGAGAGAATGAGCCAGGTTTACCAACGAATTTGAATGGGGCCTACACAACCAAAACGTGTCCCTTGAATGGACTGAGGTCTCGACGATGTCCAATACAAACATAGGTTTGATATCTGAAAAAAGTGACCAAAAATTGTGGTCCCCTGTGTCTTACTTTTGACCATCAAGGTGGAAAGCTTTCATTACCATAAATTACCATAGATACCCTCCCACGAAGTTATACTTTGGCAGGGTAGAAAATATGCTTGTTCGTGGCAAAAATCACATATATACACACACACACTTTTACGGCTAACGGCTAGGGCACATGTTGTACCTCCAGTTCCACGGATAACAGGCAAAATCCCATGCAAAATCCCATGGCTTATGACCTCACCCACCTTGGTGGTCTCAAAGATTCCGGGATTGTCCCTCAACTCCTTCACCTCCTTCTCCTGGCACGCGCACGGGGCTCAGGTCTTCTGCCATTACCCTCTGGTTATTTAACATAACTATGGAAAATAGATCAATTACAGGCGATTCATGATGAATTACCTATTAAAAATGGTTATTTACATGGCTATGTTAAATTAGCATAGGATAGCTACAACGAATTTCCAACCCAAACCCATGGAACGCAGGCGCCGCATCGGGTCGGAGACCTTCTGCATCTTGGCGGTCTTGTGGCAGTAGGTGCTATAGGTCCTGGCGTTGATATCTACTGTAAATCATGATGCTTTCTGGGGAAAACAACATGGGAATTATAGAATTCAACCAAAAAACAAGGGGGATGAACCAGCTACACAATTCAAGGCGAGAACTTTGCTGGATGGTCCTCTTTTGATGGCAGATCATTCTGAAAACGCCAGTTTGTGATTTTGAATCTATGAATCTGAAGAAGCCGTAAACTCATGCCCTTTTGGAAACAACCATAATTGTGGTGTTGCCGCTGCTCGTACCATTGCCTTTGACAGAGCTTCTATTGTGTTGTGTGCACAGAGGGTTAATCATAGATGATGGACTAGAAAGTCTTACTGACATGAACGGCAAATGGATAGGTTACGCGTGCAGGAGTTGGTCATGCGTCAAGTTTGGCACAACGGCAAAAGTCACACCATACTAGGTATCGGAGAGGGATGATTAGCATTCTGCATGGCTGTTGGAAAGTCCATACAATCTACAACAAAAACCATTTGCAGTATGCGTCCTTGCAGTCTCACGTCCATCTTGAACACAATTATCAGGTTCCATCCCAGTTGGCCGCCCCAGGATCATCTACATACAAGGTGGGTTGCCAATGGCCAAAGGTACATCTATCAACTTTATGTTTGACACAAAGACAACCAGATATCTTCAGGATATATCACTGCCATGGTGTTCTCACCAACTATGAACCAACTGCCATGGACCACCTGGGATGGCTGGAGTTCCCGACTGGTAGTGGTACACGAACTCATCCAGGATGTCCCACAGCCACTGGGCAGGCAACTGGATGCCAAGGTCCTGGGCGCGGGGATGATGATGGCGTGGCGATCAGCTGTGAAGTCAAAAACAGTGGCCGGGCCTTTTGGGAGGTTTGGGATGGATGTCAAATAACTTTTGGCAACCAAAAAAGTTGAAGATGTTGATGAACAACACAAATTTTGAACAACAAGCATGGGAATTTCATCAGCAAGAAAGTTTGGATTTTCACATACAATAGGTGCTTTGACTCTAGCTCAAGGAGCCAAGGTTTGTTGGAAACCCTTCTTGTTCTGCAGGACAAAAACACTCCTTCCAGTGATTCTATGCCCCCAGATCAGCTTCCATCCCCCCACAACCCCCCAAGTTCTCCTCACCATCGGAGAGATTTTCAATCATCAAATCCAACAGCTGGGTGTAGTTCTTCCAGGACCCTACTCGATCCTGAAAGGTGGGCTCATGGCATCTCTAGGCTTGGATGGAACAATAAACACGTATAAACAAGTTATATATACCTGGAAAAAAAGCATCTTAGAGAACCCATCTAAAGAACTGATCAACATGAAGATGTGAGCAAGAGAACTGGAGCTGTAAACAAAAATTCTGAAGAAAATATGTTTGAATCGTACAAGGCCAGCTGGTGAAATGGCACCTATCTGCTTGGATGCTGTTCCCTCCAGTGATATTACATTGCCCACTTAGTTCGATGATTATCCCCATAGTTGTCCACAAAAATTCAGGATGTTGCCAGCCACCTTAAATTGCCAGAGGGTAACAAAATGTAACAAAGGATTCTGAACAACCATCAGGGGGGTTCCTGAACTCTACAATTTTTTGATGACTACATCCTAGAAAGATGGAACAATCAAACATGTTTGTTCAAGTCATGTTTAATGTTTGACACCCATGTTTTCTTTTCAAAGTCATAACATCACTGCTAAAAGAACTAAGAAAGCGCTCATCTCAACAATCAAAAACTATTTGCATCCATTTGCTATAAATAAAGCATGTATCATTGATGGAATATCAACCCATTTTAAGCATTTGCAATGGGACATTGGTTGGCTCTGCGCCCGGATGCCTCGAAGGACACAGGATTCAGCCTGGCGTAGATATGCCTCGGGCATTGGGCATTTTTCAGCTGGCGAATGTGGGCAACCCGACGACATTTTTACCTACCATTTGGGGATGGTTTCAATCCCATCTACTGTATTCATGATCATACTGTGGATGGTTTATGATTGGACCACAATATATATATATATATCATGTTTGGCACGATAAAACACTACTCAACAATGGCAAGGACCAACGCCATCAATAATGTAGAACTGTAAGGGCGGCTATAATCTGTTCATGCTGTTCGGGTATATAGACTTGTAATAAAATGAACAGTGGCCTTTACTGTACTTTGCCGCATTATATACAGGATATCGAGTGTGCATGAGTGTGCATTATATATGTATATGTGCATAATAATATATATATATACACATAAAAATGCATCATAGACATGTTGCACAAGAACAAGACACGTGGTATCTGATCGTGCAATGTTTCACCGCAGCATTGAAGCAACCGTCACCACCGCTCCATTGAGGCACTGACCTGTAGTAGAGCTCCTGTGGGCCAGGGAGTTCAACAGCTTCGAGCGGCAACTTTACCGACAAAGCATGCTGAAAGTGGAACTCATATAAAGCTGGTAAAACAGTAGTATACTAAGTATACTATATATGGTATATATATGGAACATATCTTATTTTTGGGGAACCCAATATTGACCACTGCGATATGTTCCCATTGCCCATCACAGATAGAAAGCTGGCTGTGGATCAAAACCCTGCATGCCTAGCGGGAAAATCGGATTGAACCCAGTCCCTAATCCACATCAGTGGTGATTTCATCCTTATGCCCCCATCTTTGGATGCAAACAAAGAGAAAACATCCATCAGTAGTACAATACATATAGACATGCATATTTAAACAATAGTTAAATCATGTTATATAAATCCCAAATTCATGATCATATACTTGTACACACTTATACACCATGTTGTTTCCTCAGAAAAAAAAACCGAGGCTTCCAACCCATCCCCATCTTCCAAGGTCTCCTTGTAGAGGATCAAGAAGAGCGCTTCGTTTTGACCCAAGGCCTCTCCCACGGCATAGGCACTGGGCCACTTCCTGGGGAATCCATGGACAGATGCCAGAGTTCAGTGAGGATGGGACGAACAATTCTGTAACACATAGTCTTATTCTGTAAATCCCTAGTCTTAAATAGTTACTTGGGAGGTAATTTCTTCAAGTAGTCACTGATAATTTGCAAGGTTCCCGTGATTGTTCAACCTTGTTTTTATGAATCCAGGCTTGGTATTCCACTACCAGCAGCTCCACTGGGATGGACGATGGACGGAAACATTACAGCGACATGACATGGCGACCATAAAAAACTATTCACAACTCACAACTCGTATCGGCTCGTAATCCACCACGGTTATTACGCCGGTGTCATTTAGAGTACTTTAAAAACGCACTATTCTTTGTGAAAAACTCCCAAAAAAACATCCACATGTCAGCTCCGATGAATCCAACGGACCTGGAACATGGTTTCCTGCTCTATGATTGGCTCTAGTCTAATTATATAAGATATGCTTTTGGAAAGTCATTTCAAGTACCATATTCCCATCATAGTTCACCCTAGAGTCTCTTGGCCGCAGGTACAGAATCCAGTCGGAGACCATAAATATGTTGTCAAAACCAGGGTGAAACCCATGTATACTGGATAGTTTCTTTTGATGTTCAGAATCCTTAGTTATAAACTCCAGGTAAATGGAAATATAAACCCCAACAAACGACCATCATTTGGGGGTTCCATGCCATGGAATGATCCAACTGTGAATTGCCAAATCATCAGCAAAACCAGAAGGCTTTTCATTTGACTTTCCTTGCGGTACAATCATAAACAAATGGCTGGTGTAATGTATGATTATCTATACGTCAAAATCAAAAAATCACCAAGTTCACCACAAACACCCCATGCACATGTGATATGCATCTATATGTTGATCTATCTATTGATCTATCAATCTATCTATATGTTTATTGATCTGTCTATCTATCTGTCACTGATTATACTGTATCTCTCTCTCTCTATATATAATATATATATATTCCTATCTATCTATCTATCGATCTATCTATCTGTCTATCTATTTATCTCTCTCTCTCTATATATATATCTATCAATCGATCTAATTAAATTCTATATCGGTGTGTATATATCTACATATTTATTGTATATGATTATACGAAGTAGAACCTCATTATACAACTGCATTCCATGCATGGCAGAGTTGCCTGTACAATCAAAAGGTATGAAGCAATTCTTGTGACAATTTTGGTTGCGTTGATGTGATATGGAAGTGACACCCTACTAGAAACACTCATGAACATGAACATCACCCATTTTGAGAATTAGGATAGCAGCCTCCACTGGGTCATAGCGTCAAATTGCTGGAATGCTTCAAACAAACATTTTTCAACATCCAAATATGGCTAAATAAGCAGTAACACATGAAAACAACCACTCTGACCGAATCAGTCACCACATTCAGGATGCTAACTTGGACTCAGGCGTTTTCTTCCCACCGACCTCCCCTCCCATCAGCAGACCGCGGCTTTGCCACCGAGGGACGTCTTGTTGTAATATCGCTCTGTCAGTTGGTTGAAGACCGTTTCCTAAGCGCACACAACAGGAAAACCTTACTTGGTGGTGCAGTTGGGGCTCTAACAGGGTATAACGATGGCTACAACCGGCTACAACCTCCATAAGTTGGGATATAACTCCTATGGCCTATATCTGTAGCCGGTGATACATCCGCTTCAAAGCTCTGATAATCCAACATAGCTGTGGAAAACCACAACTTTGAACAGGTAAATCATCGACACAAAAGGGCCATGTTGCATAGCAATGTTGGACTACCAAAGCATACAGGAACAATGATACACTCTGAATCTAGATGGTCAGTAGCATGTTGTGAGTTGCAAAACCTTGAACAGTTGTGTTTTTCCGTTCAAGTGAGTTTAACACATAGTATACTAGCAATATTCAACCAAAACGGCTGTACTGAATATGGAGGTACAGTATCCTCCCAGCAAAGCTGGATGGAGCATGCCTGTGGATATTCAACTTATGACTTATGAGCGACAAATTAAATGTACAAATAAGTTGGCTTATAGCATCTAATTTAGCTGTATTTAAAACTCGCAACTGGCATTTGTGCATTCGCTGGGCATGTTGACAAAATCTGGGGCATATCAGGCAGCATTGCGGCAGCATGCAAACAGCCTGACCCCTGCATGATGCATATCATTGAATGCCGCCTGCTTGAAATATCAATTGGCGGATTCTGGTGGTATGTGTAGTCCGCATGTTTTGAACATGCCCATGTTGTGTGTCACCTGGCTAACCTTGCAGGCAATCTTAGACTTCTGTAAACAATTTTGGTTTCTCTATATATAGTGAGAAATGATCTTCTCCCATTTGTCGCAGTCAATTGACATTCACTAGCAGCACTAGCAATTTGCCAAACTTTGCCCAGGTCAAACCTAGACAAATTGCAAGCCCAAGCAACGTAGAGCTTGTTGATCTCTGGGATGTTGCTGGACCTTTGAGGTCCGGTTGTGAGGGGATTTCACCCAGAAATGGAGATGTTACCAACAAACACTTGGGATTTTACCAGCCAGGATGGGCAGGATGGGGAACACACAGCAGCTTTGTACATATCACTCTTGGGGATGACTTTCCTCATGTGCACCATCTTTCATAGGGGTAGGGGTAGGACAAACAAATCGCCACAATTTATGCGAAAAACATAGTAGCATAGTGGAACTCCCCCACGCAATAAAGGGGTTGAAATAATGGAAATTAATCTTCGACCAACATAAACTCAAAAAATCTCAAACGCCATCGCAACTGTTCATTCAAAACCTGAAGGGTAGATTGGAACCTCTGCCAACAGTGAGGGTTTCTTCATGTAAAAAAAAAGTTGAGGTCAGAAGGTGATTAATTCCATCCCCCTAAAAATAACACGCCACCAAAAACCATTAGTTTAGTACTGGCGCTATTCATTTTTAGAGCCCCCGTGGATGTATTTAATATTTAATATCAGGCGGATTGGATCATGTTCATTTAAAAGTCAACCAGACCACTTGGGTAATCATTTCCAACAGCCCACCGTAAGCTTTGACGAATCAACAGCATTTTTTGTATATATTGTATATTACATGTATATTGTATATATAGGTATATATATGTATATATAATATGTGTCCTTCTCTTTGGCAGGAATTCTGAGACAAGAAAACTTCAAGAGAACCATTATTGCAAAAAAAACACATCTTCCAGATTGTACTCAGTTTTTGTCACTTGTTGTCACCTTTTCTTGTGGATCTTAGTCCTGACTCAGTCTTGGGATGCCACCAGGCGGGTCAAGCTTAGGATCCCGACTTGATGGAATCTAGCAGGCCTCAGCGACAAAGGACAAAGTAAGTAGATACTGTAGTTTATGGATACATATCCAATGAAACAAAAACTATGATCCAGTAATACAAAGTTGTTAGTACATTACCAGTATTCTGCATATTCTATTAATTATTTTCTTTCTGGGTAATGAAATCATAAACCTAACAATAGACATATCCAGATGTCTCAAACTTCCAATACAATAATATCAACTGACAAAATTAACAAGCATGTTACGTTAAGTTATTTGACCAACAAGAAAAGATGGATTTGATTGAATCAACGAAACATACGGACAGGATTTGCTAGGCTTTCCTATATTTTCCTATTGGCAAATGGGTTAGGACATATTAGGACTATACCGGCCATACTTACTATGCTACTCTATAAAAATATTCTGCATGTTTGGTACCCCAACTGCACTTTGTTTGTGAAGCTCATGGTCAGGGTTCCCCGAAAGAAACTAGGGGTTTACAAGACTCAGATACCCTTTGGCAATCAAACATGTCAAGCAAAAACCCATCATGTATTATATATATAGATAGTTTTTCCATTAAAACCCCCATTTATGGGGGATTTCCAATTGCCACATTTGATTATAAACAACCCGTCATAGCCAAAGCTGGCTGGGGCCAGAGCCATCAACAAGGAAAGGAAACCGCCCAGCGCCCAAAGCCAGGACCCCTAAGTCATCCAGAACTGGTTGTTTTTGCAATGGAAACCAATTTGGTTGGTGGTTTCATTATATATATATCATTATATACTGGTTGGTGGTATACCCACCCTCTGAAAAATATGAGTTCGTCAGTTGGGATGATGACATTCCCAATATATGGAAATTCATTTAAAAAATGTTCCAAACCACCAACCAGCAATGGTTTTGGGGTCCTCCAATTTCAAAAGTCCGCCACATTCTTCATCCAAGTTTCTTCCGAGAAAGTGGTCCACTGCATCTGGGATCACCTGTGACTTTCGGTTCGCGCGAGATGATCCAGGCTGCAAGGGGGGCACTCCACAATCTCACGGATTATTGTTTGGACCAGAAATGAAATGACCACAAATTGGGCATCCCCCATGGACCAATCCATGAACCCCATCTGTTTGCTGGTTGTCTAATAGTATCTATTAGTATCTATACACCGTTTCACTCCACTATACCTCTATTCCATACCCCCTGGTTTATTCGTGAAATCACCCAAATATTTTGACGACCGCATGATGGAAATATCGATTCATAAACCATCCAAGATCATTTACAGGTGATATACCATTACTTTTACTACTTTTACTGCAAAACTATATTTAGCAGCGTTTCCCATCAGCATGTCCAGTATATCTACCCTAGAAGATATCCCAATGACTCACCATGCCCCTGGGATAATTGTGGATTATCACTACAAACTGATGGCTTGACTCATTTGACTTTCAAGATTATCCCGTCCTTTGTTGACGGGTAAATCCCCCGTATTCATCACAAGCTTGAATGGTGATATAGAATCAACAAGAATTTCGGATCAAATTTTCATGTTTGATGCTACAACCCTGAAATGTGGACAACGAAATAATAAACGAACCTACCATTTGGGGGTGGTTCATCCCACCCATTTATGCTTTATGGTCTGTCCTTGGAGATGGGTGAGAATTATTGGCTTCACGACATTAGATAGTGAATGATAGTGATTTTTGGAATGATTTAGGTTATTCAATCCCATATGCTCCATGTATATCCAGATCCATGTATGGAACATCTACCCACGACCCACGTTTTCCCCAACCATCATCTCCGGCGCTTGGTCAGCCGTGAAAGGCATCGCACCTCGGCCTTGCGCACCTGTCCTTCCTCGAAGTCACTGTCTCCCTGGCAGTGCGCCCAATGTGTCGAGGGGTGCAAAGACATGAACACATGGGGAGTTACATGATAAGAACCTGGGGAAGGGGGTAGAGCTAGAACCAATGAATATTTTGAAGATGTTAAATGAGCTTGAAAGAGCTGAGAAAGACAAAAAATGTTGACCCATAAGAAATTTGAAGATTGCTGACAGCAAAATGAAAAAACTAACCAAAGAACGTTGGATCTTTACCACTGGAGCTGGAGATGTGTTTTGTTTTGAGCAATCATGGTTTCACGAAAATCACCTGTGCTGCATGTGCTTCATGTTTTTTCAAGTGTTTCCAAGAAGAAATCCAATGGCAAAAAGCAACTTTGTTTCCGAGTGCCGTCCCCATGATTGATTGAAGAGTTAGAGTTCAATTTCTCACTTGAATATCTGCCGCAAAGGGGGGGGAAGATTCTGTTCAGGGAGCCGATTCTTGTAATTCCGTCGTCCATCATGTATGTCATTCACACGAGACATTTCATTCTTCCCTTTCCATCTCCCTCGCGACCATCCAGACCAACATCCAGAAGAGAGGCTCAAACCACCACTTTCAGGATCATCAATACCATCACACATACCTTTTGTCCTGATCATCGCCATCATCATTGCCATCACAAACAACATATAACAAAATAATAATGCAAATTCCTTTAGCCAAAAAAATCTTTCAGAGTAACAATCGCCAAACCAGTCATGATTACATATGCACCACATTCCAAATCATCACTATCATGACCATCATGTCAGCCAACTCCTGGTCCCTCTAAAAAGACCATCCGAGCCCAAAGTCCACCTCGTCACCCATGGTTTCCTGCACCGGGGCAAACTAGCAGGTCGAAGCATACATGATTTTCCCATTGAAAATCATGGAATATTTTCTTTACCTGACTATCTTACATACCCCATAGGATCCATGTATGCTATATATGGTAACATGGATCCCATCAACCCCAAACGTTAGCATATATACCAGCACCATGAAACTATATATGAAGGCAGTTCCAGCAGCTGAAGGAGGCCCATTTGGATGGCCTCCCTATGAAGCTAATACCTATAGTAAAGATGTTCTGAGGGCAGGCAAATTCACCAGGAAACAAGACCTAAACCATTGAATCTTGGATTTGCGATAACACATGATAAATCTATCAGAAAAAGTATCAGCCTACTGAAAACAATCGCACTGAAGAACAGTTTTCAAATTCCAACTTCCGCTACTGAAGTCTCAATTTCAGATCTTTTGCAAACTATATACTACAGTATATACTGAAGAAACATTCGAACATCTTCATATGCCTAGCTCCTAGCAGGTGACGTGATGTCCTGCGAGGTTCAAGTGCCGCTGCTGTATTTGTCAGAACTAAATCCGAGCAGCACCACATAGGTAAACAGGTTTCAGCGCATCGCTAAAGACCAAGCGGCGCGCCTGGGGTTTGATGACGCGAAACCGCAGTGAAATCCCAAAACTTGAGGGCCACAGCGGCGAATGCAGACAACGGACGCTACATCACATGGCAAACAAATCACATAGCGAAGAAATCTCGTCGTGAGGGGATAATCATCACAAAAAGGCATGGAAATAAGGACAGTTAGAACATTTGCACCTTACAACCATCGATCAGAGGCGCTAATCAGGCTCATCACCCAATTAAAAGGAATTGGACCCCACAATTGACTTTTGGGACTGAAGAAGACGGTGTTGTTGGCAGTGACACCAGGTCAATGACATGCAAGGTCAAATGCGTGCCAAGTAAATTGCCCAAAAATCTTTCAAATCAAATGGCACTTAAGCTGTACTAAATTGAACAGCACCATAGGCTACCCTCATTGCCTTCAGCACTTCCATGGGTCCAACCAACCTAGATGCATCTGGTTTGTTCCTTCGCTGCAAAACATCATGATGAGGTCCGAACCTTTAGCATTTCAAACCAGTCAAGAATACATCAACCCCAAATTTGTGCTTACAAACAAACCTTGCGCCTAAAGTATCAACCACCGCTCAATCGAAGTCCTGGTTTCAGTTTGGGTTTATTCCAAGGAGAATCGAATAGCAGGGGGATTCCCTGTGACAGAATAAGGCCCACACTACGGATTTAGATCCGTTGCAAAGTGACCAGTTTTCCAGCGCTCGACTCTGCTGCAATCCACTGAAGGATCCCTCTCCGGGGTGAGAACCTGGAGCCGTTTGGGCATGGCATGTATGGGGATGAACTGAAATTTGGGGTGCAAAAGCATTTCTAAATTCAGATACCTTGCACGCAAAACAATTTTTAACCAGGGCCGGTATGTTAAACATGGGGAATTTAATATCCCAGGACTTGGGTTATGTTTCTACATCAAAGAAAGCAACCCAACTGCCCTTGAACATTCCCACAATTTTGCTGCTTATCATTGTGTGTTTCCTTTCAGGGCCCTGAGTCAGATTTTACGGAAATGTTTGTTTATTTGGACATCAGTCCACACATTTTCCGACTGCTAACACATCGAAGATATTCAAAAATCTAATTATGATCTTTCAGAAACACCCAACTGACTTATTTGGTGCTGGCGGATCTTTTATAAACCCATGTTGGGAAGTTTATGCTTTTGGCGGTTTTGGATAATCAAACAAAACCTTGCCAAGGAGCAAAGATTTCAAAGATTAAATATGCAAGTAGCAGGGCACAAACCAACATTTCCCTTGAGGGGCACCAACCCCAACATGGAACAAAGGTTTCAGAAAGCCTAGGTCCTGGACGCATGTCCTTATGGTTGGCGATATCTCTGTCCCCTCGAATTTTCAATCTTGTTGGCTTCGAGTAATCCCACAAATCAAATCTGTAAATCGAATGGATTTTCTCCAACTAATAACTAGGAATGAACGCTACTATGATATTATTGGTTATCCTCCTAAAAAAATGGCATGCATCATTGCTACATTCGTTTGGCTGACTAGAAATACCCTGAAACCCATCTTTTTGGTGATAGATTCTGTTGCGCTATTTTGATGACAAAATCACCCACGTTCACCAATCAGTTTTGGCCAGTCCATCAACTGCGGATTGGCCAGAACCCATCATATCGAAATTGAGTGCATGAGCATCGACAACTCCAGCTAAATGGTAAAATAATTGCATGGTCCCCGTTGATGACAAGCAACCTTTAGACTACCCATCACCAATCACGTTGTCCATATCTTTTCTGTATAAGTCAACATGTTTGATAGTCAACACCACATTCTTTTCTCATGGTTCAGCCAGAGCCCTTCACCAAGGCTGAAATCCCACTCCCAATGTTTAATCATGTTTATTGTGCTTATTGATTAAACATATTAAACATGGTTAACCCTCTTTTTTGCCCAGTTCATGAAAACCACATTGCCGCGACCACTGCCTGGAGCAATGCCTCGCGTGGATGTCAATGGGGATGATGTACTTGTCAGGCGTGGAAAGCCAACAGAAAATCGCTACGTTGGCCGAAACAACTATGGATGTTTATGGTGGATGCAACTAATGGGGGAACCCACATTGTATCCATGTGCAGACACGCAGAGATTCGCAGAGAGCTTCAATACATAGGCAAAAAAACTATCCAACTGCTATGGAGTCTGGTGTCACATAATCCATAAAAGTAAGCAGCTCACCAATCATTCTCTAGTAATCACAAACTAGATAAATAATGTTGCCTTGCCTGACTGTCATGCATCAACTGGAACACTTCTTTACACTGCTGGCTGAGGCTGCATATCCATCTTTAATCATCTTTATATACTTACAAAGATGTGGGAGAAATGCATCCCGTTAACACCAGAGGTCGGAACAAAGCAATGGAATTCCCAGGGACACCCATGGATGAGACTCTCATTTCAAATATTTTCAAATCATATGATGCCTATAACGCTCCCATTTTCTGGAGTATGCATATGGGAAGTTTATGGGCATTGGGCCAAGATGCCATGGAATGTCCGTAAAAAGAATTCACAGCGTCTGAGAAACTTGGCCGCCTTGTTGTGCTACCCTATTTTGCCGCCCTATTTTGCACGGTTTTGCTAAGAACTGTCTAGCACAAACGCCCCTACCACTGCTTAAAAGGACCCATGTGCGAAACATGCTATTGATGTCCGCAACATGCTGTCATTACCTGTGCCACTGCAGCGGTGTGGTGTGAGGCAACATGATCTCTTCCGTTTCTCATCAAACACTTGTTCAAAGAAACCAAGCCAAAAGAAAAACTTGGAATGACACTTGAGCAAGAATTTCACCAACTTCATAATCTTTGTTGGCTTCAATTGATTTAAACATTGATCTAGTATCATCAAATGTTATTGCTTCAGCTTGATGAGAATTCCTCACAGATGCTCCGTACTCCTCCTTGAAATCTACCATCTGCAGTGAAGCGGCCATTCTTCGTTCAGAGGTTGGAGCCCAAGCGGATCTATGCAAACTTGGCATGTGAACATGTGAACATGTGAGTATGTAGTACATGTGCATATGTATATGTATATATATAATTCTATATCTATATGTATATTACATGTATATATATATATTATATAATATATATATACTGATTGATTGATTGCATATCTATCTAAACACAAAGAACCAAACATATAGATATGTCATTGGCAGGTTATTGTGACCTATTTGCTGGAACAAACAAAGAAACAAACTCAATAAACAACTCCTAGACTTCGCAATTACGAGACATATAATGAACGAAAACATATCGTGAAACCTAGCGGCCTAGCGAACACAAACTCTGAACATCTGGGCCAGCTGGCTTATCTGCAAATGGAATTTTCTGTTTTTCTGTGTCCATCTGCCTGCGCCAAAAAGAGGGTTGGCTGCAAGTTTCTATCTGATTGCACAGCATAACTCCATGGATAGAGGCTCCTCTTCCGAGCTGGAAGCGGAATGAATTTTGCGCTGCCTCTTAGCTGGCCTAGACTTCGCGCAGAATACATTCAAAATTAAGGTTAAACACGAACAAATCACCCGAAACCATGTGAACCTTGAACCGTTGAACCAAGAAATCACATCCACATGTCACAACTGTGCCTTTCTGCACACCATCATAATCTTGGGAGGAGAATACACAATGCCATCCTGAGCAGTCTGCAGCGCAGAAAACCTCGAGATGGTCGCTGTTCTTCAATCCTTCTGTGAACTTGATGGCAATGAGATGCACTGCCAACTTTGGTAGCCGCCACTCGATCCAGTCACCTGCTTGGAGCTTAAGGACAGGGTTGATGCCAAGGGGGGTGACGCCTGATGCGACTTGATAAAGGTAGCCAAGCCATCGAGAGTCTGCCAGGGAGAAGCTAACAGAGACCCAGTTTGCAAAATAAACAGCTGCTCTTGTTTCCTGGTTGAATGACTTACCTTGACAGAACTTATCAAATCGGCTTCTGACACAAGAAGGTCGGCAGTGCTCTCACCGCATTTACGGTTGGGCATCTTTGCCGTCGATACCCACCTATCAACGAGAGCCCAGCGATTAGTTGCATCCGGGGCATCCCACTTTCGGAGAAGAGACTCCAACTTCTCATTTGTGATGCACATCAAGTCGGAAACCAACACTTCTTCCAAGAGTTCATCCCTTACCAAGGGTCGGGTTTCAAATGCCTTTTCGGCTTCAATCAATATCTTATCCTTGCTTTTCTGACGAATCCCTTGCAAGTGAAAACGATCTGCACTCTGGAAGATGACCCAAGCGTTTTGCACATCGATTGCATCCTGCATCCCGCAAAAGCAACTGGAAAAACTGGCAAAACTACATTGCAAAAAAAGAAGAACACTGCAAATGGAGATGTTCCGAACAACTGTCCGACAGCCTCAGGATATACCCTTGACTACTATGGCGATACACATTTTACTGGAATTGTCCTCCAACATCTTCACGCACAGCTTTCTCAACTCCAGAACTTGGTACTTGTCTGCGACGGCACTCACTTCACAAACAATTTCTGGAGGTGCGTCCACAGTGCCCTTGTACAGGAACTTCAAGAAGGTCTCAACGGCGAAGCTGGAGAAGTCCTTGATCACCACCTGGCCAAGCCCCCAAAAAACAAAATCGAGCCGTGCCGAAATGAGGTCAGTTTTATCTCTTGATATTTGTTGATCCGTGGATTGCCATCATCCACGTGGTTCTGATAAAAATGTCACAATCAATCACTAGAGGGTTTTTGCGCACTTCTCACCAAAGATGTGGGTGCCAAGGGCAAGCTGCAAATCTTCTGAACATGGATCTTGATAATGCAAGCACATCCGTTTGCAAAGTCTTCCAAAGTAGGGACTGCTTCCACAGGTGGATTTTAGAGGCCATACGTCTGACCTGATTTCACTGTTCGACTAAGTCACTAGGTGTCGAATCTCCACAAACAATGAAAGTACACATATGTAATCTGGGAACCCAGCTGTGATAATAATATCACCTTCACTGCACCCTCTGTTCTAACTTTGTAATAAAACTCCAGATTCATTCTCCTCTCCAGCTTCTGAGATACCCTCTACTGCTACTTGTGATCAACTCGTTGGGTTGTTGGATTTTGTTTGCGCAAAATCAACCCACTGCCTCTTTCTTGGAGCTCTCCGCAAATTCCTGCTTCATCATCGTGTCGAAGACCTTGTGACGGCAAACGTTGACTTGGATGGTTAAAATTTGGGTGACCGCCCTAGTTGGCACGTCGGTAAAACTCATGAAAGTCTCCTGTGTCCTCACCGAATAATCTGATGCAAGCATACTTACGTACAAACAACTCTGTTTTCCTAAGTAGAAGGGTGGTCTACGTATAGGTAAAGAGATACCCCCAAACATGTGGAAGATAACATGTTCAACACATGCGAATGCGAATTACCTTGGTTTTTACACCCAAAAGAGATGGTAGGCATGGAGGCTGCATATGTTGTAGATGCAGATGATGGTCTTCACAAATGACAAGTTCTTGATAGTTCTTGTATTTTCTAATTTTTCTATCTGTTTGGGGTTGATAGGCTAGACCCAAGCACCCACGTTTGACACGAGCACCTCTGACCAGCACGAGAGGATCACGGACCAAACTTTGAACTCCGTCCGTTTGGGCGCTTCCTCAGAGTCTTCCACACCTTGGAGGTGCTGAAACTGATAATGAAAACCCAAGACGCAGACTGAAGCCTGGTTTCGTCTTTTTTGTTGGGGGTCATCGTCAATTGTTGGCGACATACTGTACACTACAACTATTTTGCCTGGTCAGGTGAGAGAATAAGTCTACTTGTATAGGGGTACCATTCGAGGATCAAGTTGCTGTGTGACCTTCTGGAAGGTGCCGCCCGAGATTTCGCTGAAGCGATTTGGAGAACCACTATGAAAGGAACACGTGATTCCCCACAAACGCGACATACTGTTTGCGCAAATCTTAAGGGCCTGCAAAAAGTTAGATCAACAGTGTTCAAGACGCAGAAAATTTGATCACATCAGCTTAATTCCAGCAAATAGGCGAACATGTTGGAATGAAACGGCATTATGATTACCTAAAATCGTTAGTTCAAGTTAAATAACCACCAAACGGAGCTTCCCCCCCAGGAAGCCACTGGCTCTGTTTGGCTGCAGTCGGACTAGGTTGCGAAATCCTTACTTACAACATAGTTTGTCCCAACAAACTAACCCTGTTGAACACCCATCAGTCAAAGGCATGGCTGCTGCTGATACACATCAAAGTTGGACTCACCTAAAGAAATTAAAATGGTGGTTGATTTTCAGACCTCAACTATCTCAACCACTTCAACATACTTCATGTGGCCATGGCACTCCCAGCAAGAGCACTTTCCTCCACCACCACCGTGAAGTCGCCTCCCTGGCCGAAGAATGGTGCCAACTTCTCAGCCACCAGGTGCTTCGCCATGGCCCGCTGGCAGCTGGACGTCTGGCTGGGTGTGGCTTTTAGGGAGCGATCTGAGCAAGCAAAATGTGCTGCCAGGCATGGGGTTAATGGGACTATGAGGAAGTTTGAAGCTTCACTTTGGGATGAAGCTGCTTGAAAATGCTTGAAAGGCGTAATCCGCAAGTTTGAATACTTGAATTTATCAACTGCTTCATAATATTATCAAATTATCAAACATATGTCTCTTGGTACCCGGCACCAACTTTGAAACCCTGAAGCCGCTTCATAGAACACTGGCATCTGCCCAAGGCCATCCCCAATCTGAGGGTCTCACCTTTCTCGAGACTCTCAGCTCGCCATCAGTGCTTGGTGATATCTGCAGGGCCGAAATACAACATGGTTCACCGGTTCAAACTGAACAAGATCTTGGAATGCTGGGTATGCTGGGTGTTGTGTCAAACCCTGTAAATCCTCAATGGCTATATTTACATCCCTCCTGCCAGAGATGATGAGCTAATCCGCTTATCTCTGTTACCTCCTACGCTACCATGCTCAAAGTTGACCATTTCGATGGTTGACCATTTACAGAGTCAACCACTTAGGTGGTTTCAAAGTGGTGCCCCCAAACTAAGTTGTTTATTACTATTTAAAATCGCACTAGGGTTCACGGCAGATACATCTGCTATAATTTTCATTATATAATTCTTTGTAGCTGTGATTAGCCTACTGGTTGGCCAGGCGATCCCTGCATCTGACATCCGGTCAAAAACAAGTGTCATGGTCATGCAGCCTGGTGCCCAAATGATACCCTTAAATAATTAACAATTAATTAACTATGACAATGGGAAATACCGTTGAAATATGTTGAAATACCCTATAATTGGATTTATGGAGGGTTTTTAATGGAAGAATTAGAATCATGGAAGTAAATTGGGGATTTTCCAGCAAACCAGTAAAACATGTTTCCTTACCGAAGGGTATGCAGCAAATAGGAATGAACTCGACCCTTAAAAATCAAAGTCAAACATGGGAAATGGATGGAAATGGTCACTATACACCTGTTGTTCCCATCCCACCCTGCTGAGACAGCCCATGCCACATGGCGTCATCAGAACCAACCCTGACTGGAGGAAAATCTAGGGAGGAAAATCTAGGATGGAAAATTGCATACATGGCTAAACATAATAAGTTCTTGTGTTTGAACCGGGCTATACTATATGCTAACCTTTTTTCTCAGTACAGGAATGTTTTTGGGTTATACTTACTTGGGTGCGAACCCAGGTTCGCAACCTGCAAAATATATTCAAATAAAATATTCCTTGTCATAATATCTCCATAGTAATGTTAACCCGAATCAATACACCACCCATTTATCAATATGGGGGGTTCCCAAAACAATCATATATCCCTTTACAAATGGCATTAAATGGTACCCCCTCAATTAGTAAACTAGGGGTTATTAATCCGGGGTTCATAGTGTCCCATGTTTCTTGGGCGAAATCCCCAGCAAGTGCACTTTACATTACACCCCGCGACGCTGCAGCCTTCAGTAAGCCTCCACTGCAATTCCTCGGCGGTTACCAAGCAGAGAGCAACAGATCGAAACACCAACTTATATGGTTTGGTAATGTTTGGTATAGTTTAGGTTTGTGTGCTCCAGTATGGTTTAGTACGGTTTAATCAGTATATGGTCTAGTATGGTTAAATATGTTAATGGGATGTTAAACAGACTCCGCGCAAAGAAGTGAACAAAAACAAGGGCTTGTAAATGGTACTATCCATTGCGTTTCCCAAACGCCTGAACACATCAGAAACAATTCAATACTGAACAGGTTGTTTGGATCTGGTCAAAACAGGATGGTACCACTGTTGGGACTACAACTGTGGGATTCACCTTTTACATCTTTTACTAGCACTTTTGTATGAAGAGAAGCGGACCCCATCAACAATGCAGGAACAATATGGAACAATCCCATCCCTCAACATTAAATACCCCCCTGAACCCCGGGTTGGGTGCTGGATCGGTTCACTTGGGGGCCATGTGGGGCAGTGCTTAATGCTATACTGTTACGGGGATGATAGGACAAGGTCTGGAAATCAAACTTCGAAGGTGTCACAGCAACTTGGCCACCCCATCGCGTGAATCTTTTTCCGCCACTTTGTCGGCATGAAAACCGCAGACCAGTCCAATGTGTGATTTGTGTGTCTGCCGGGGCACTTTTATCAGGGCTGGGCAAAAATACTCATATCCCAAAATGAAAAGCAACGAAAGCCTCGATGATTGCTGGTCAAAGCAATACTTGTACAATTCTGCCTTTGGCCAGTCCCGCATGCAGGTCCACACAAAGGCGTGAACCCACAAACTGTGTCAATTTTGGTTGGAATTCATTCATCCAAACTTCTGTGCCAATGGCAGGCTCACTTGTAGATTGTACATTTAAAAGCGAGCATGTGCCAGAGCAATTCTCATCAACTTGAAACAGAAGGGCACTCAACAACGTTCAGCGCAAAGTGTCAGAGAATTTCAACGAACGGAGACCACATAGCCGGGCATGAGTGTCCAGATGGAGAATGGCCTTCCAAGATTGGAAGTGGAATCACGGCACTTCCGCCAGAATGCCTTGAAACTTGATACCCGGGAGCTGAAATTCCCCTGAAATCATGTGAACTTTGAAACGTTGCGCCAAGTGCTGGCACCTGCATTTTACCAGAGTGTTTCCGCCAAAACCAGGATATATAGCACCGTACTCTTTGGACGAGAATACACGTTGCCATTCTGAGCAGTCTGCAGCACAGAAAATCTCAAGATGGTCTCTTTGTGTCAATACTTCGCTGAAAACGATGCCCATCAATTGTGCACCAAACTTGGGAAGTCTCCACTCAATCCAGTCGCCTGCTTGCAGCTTGCAGCCTGCATTGCCTTCTGCAATCACATGAGCATATGGCGCATAGTCTCCAGACAATGCATAGCTGACAGAGACCCAGTTTGCCAGAAAGATCGGTCTGGACAGCGAAGGTTCCTTGGGCCACGACTTTCCTTGTGAGGTCTGACTTTTAGAGAAGGTATCGAAGCGACCCTTGACACACCGTATGAGGTCTGTGGAGTGTTCACCACGTTTGCGTTTGGGCGTCTTTGCCATCGAGACCCAGCGGTCCACAAGTGTCTGGCTGCTGATTTGATCTGGAGGATCTGTCCACGTTTTGAGAAGGGACAGCAACTCCTCATCTGTAACGCACATCAAATTGGAAGAGAACACCTCTTCCAGCAGTTCATCTCTCACGAGGGGTCTGGTTGCAAAGACCGTTTTGGCTTCAGTCAATATGAGATCCTTGCTTTTTTGACGAATGTCCTGCACTTGAAATTCATCTGCACTTTGGAAAATGGCCCAAACATTCTTCACATTCATGTTGTCCTGCAGCCGATGAAAAGGGTTCGGGTGAACACCCCGCAAATGTGTCGAATTGCAGTGCAAAACTGTCCAAACGACGATGTTCTTAAGATATCTTAAGTTCTGTTCTGCAGCATACAGATATACCTTGGACATGCCGGACCACTAATTCTTATTTCAACACAAAGGAGGTCACCGGATCAATCCTCCACCATCTTCAGGCAAAGGTTCTTAAACTGCAAGACCTGGTACTTATCCGCAATGACAATTACTTCGCAAAGCCTTTCGGGTGATGCGTCCACAGTGCCCTTGTACAAGAACTTCAAGAAGGTCTCAACCGCAAAGCTGGAGAAGTCCTTGATGACCACCTGGCAAAACGCGAAGCAAGCTGAGGTGGGCCATGTGTCATCTACTGCAATGGGTGTGTCACCGTCGGACATGTGAATTCCCAAATACGTGGGTTCCCATGATTTCTAGATCTTATCAAAGCAATCAACCGAAAGTATCCGAACATGGAGGAGCCAAGGGTAATCTACAAATTCACTAAGCATGGATCCTTGTACTGCGATCACTTCCCTGCTGTACAGGGCCAACGAAAGCGATGAAATGGGACTCAAGCTGTGGATGACATCCACCCAACTGCCCCTGTGCACAGTCTCGAGCTACTGAGAACCCACATCTACTTATTGAAACCTTTTAATTGGGTTGTAAGATTCCCCTGTTCCGGAGTAGTCAGGCCGCCAGGCCTCTTTCTTGGTGCTCTCCACAAAGTCCTGGCTCAACATCTTCTCAAAGACCTGCGATCAGCGACAGAAAGTCTCCTGGCTGGGTTGCCCCTGTTAATCGATCTGTTGGTCTGTTGATCATCTTCTATAACCCATAGGATCCATGTATGGTATGCTAACATTTGGGGTATATTGATGGTAAATGTTACCATATATAGCATATATACATGGATCCTATATGGGTAATGGAAAACATATTGATGACGCACATGTGGAATCATGATGTTGAATAAGCAGCCATGGAGCAATTGGTCAAGAAAAGTGATGAACTCCCAATCTGGGAGCACATGGATTTGTCCCAAGTTATTGTCCCCATCTTTACCCATACCGGGGAAAGGTGAAACCCAGGACCATCATCCGGATGGAACATAGAACTTGTCACTTGTCATCATGTGTCATCCCAATCATCCCATAGGAATGGAAACAAAAAAACAAAATACTTCCAAATACTTGAACATTTTAAACATATATAATATATATATATCTATCACTGGATTGGTTTAAGGGAAATGTTGTAGGAATCCTCAACCAATTTGATGGGGAAAACTGGGAAACCATGGCTGGTTGGTGGTATAAGATTGGATCATCATCCCAACTATTGGGGAAAATAAAAAATGTTCCAAACCACCAACCAGTTTAGTAGTATAGCAACAACAAATTGATGGTTTGTACCCCCCATTTATGGTAAGATTGGGGCTGGTGGATCCTCTTGCTTCACTCACATTAGTCTTTCAGGACCACCGATTTGGCCAATTGATTTCCAAGAATATGGATGTAAGCAGAGTGAAACCCTGTCAATGCATTGGTTTGAGGGATCTACAATTTACCGGATATTCCATGTCCTTTTTGCTTACCGTCAAGAATGTAACAGGGTTCACGTGTCACATTTTCCCTTCAACCAGCCACCTCTGACCACGCCGAGAGGATCACGGACCAGACTTTGAACTCCGTCCGTTTGCGCTCAGCGGAAGTGTCGCCTTCACCTGGGAGGTGTCGGCCGTCCCGAAAAAATGACGAGCAAGTTGGTTGCTTCATGGGGATTCCAACAACAAATAGTGAAAATATATGAAAATAAGTGAAAATCATGGGAATATCATGGGAATAGCATGAGGAGATAGTAGAATATGGGTGACCCGGTGACCCCCCTAATAATAAAGGGCTACAAAGTGATTATGTTTGAGGCTTATGTTTGGGGCTTATTGACCGGGGCTTATTGACCACCAACAACCAGGTTTATAATTAAGGGTTAGTTAGTTTATTAGCCATCTGTCATTGGGGGGGCTGGCTGCGTGCCAATCCTTAGTGGTTTAAACCCTGTGGGTCATCATTCCAAAACACAGGGAACCGATAGAAATATACCACCAACATCCAACAACCAGCAAGGGTAACTAAATGAGTGTGGAGGACCAAACACACGCTGGCGGAAACGAACATACATTACACCCTGTTCCTTCTCTGAAAAAGACAACAATCAAAGTATTTCTGGGCCGCAGTCTTGCTTTTCATCTGCTTTTGGGCTTAGAGCTTAAAACACTACAAAACCCAAACTCCGCGTGTTCGAAGTTCAAACCTCCACCTCTCACCATCCATGCCCTACCAGGTGCATAAGCCCCCTTCACGTCACAGGGCCATGGCACCCTGACGTTCCTCCACCACCACCGTGAAGTCGCCACCCTGGCCGAAGGTTGGTCCCAATTTCTCGGCCACCAGGTGCTTCGCCATGGTCCGAGATGGCGGATTTTTGTGTTTGAGCAAGCAAAATGTGCTGCCAGGGTTCAACGATGTTAGTTAAAGGTTCGTTGTTTGATGAGGCTGCTTTACACCCGGAAGATTGAATGATCTTGAATCTATCAGCCACTTCACAAACTGACGACAAATCTGCTCCCCCGGATATCCAGCCCCAACTTTGGACCCTTGTGGTTGCTTCAAACCACACCTGGCATCTGCCCAAAGCCATTCCGAATCTGAGGGTCCTACATTTCTTGAAGCTCACAGCTCAGCCATCAATGCTCAACCTGCAGGCTTGAGCAAGAAGCCATGGTTCACTGAGCCAAATGAACTGGAGCCAGCGACTTACCTTGGAATGTTGCGTCATCTATGTCTAACTCGGGTACATCCTGGATGACATATTCAAATCTGGCAAAGAGATGATCATCTGAACAGGCTTGTGCCGTAGAGACAGACTACCTGTGGAACATGACACTATTTAACCCCAGCCAGCAAGAGCGAACAAAATGGCAATCATGATACACATAAAAAATGATACACATACTTTTGAGTCAATGGATGCAAAATGATGCAACCAGTGTGAGTTCTTGAATTGGAGCGTAATTTTTGAACGAACCCAAATCTCCAATCTCCAGATTTCACGTGGGGATCAGTCCAAACGAGCACGCCTTGAGTTCAATGGCGAGAAATGGACATGAAACTTGAGGGCTAAAGGCAGCAATTGAAGACCATTGACTATGACCACAGACCCTTGGGTACAGCAACCACCTTCCAAGAAGCCACACGTTTGGTTCCACACTTTCCGTGTCTAAAAAAAAATGCAGCAATGTTCAAGTACTTAAGCTAATGACGAGTGGTGAGGGCCCAAACAATGAGCTCAGTAAAACGTGGCCAAAACCAACCGGTTTGCATTTTCCTGTAGATCCTGGTAGATTTTAAGCTTTCAATGCTGGATTGAAATATCATACTTTGTCACCAAAATTCACCAGGCACATACCTGCCCACTAACACATTGTGCATTACGCATTGCATCCCCAAATGTCCAGCCATGTAGCATCCCAGTTGTCATAAACTAGACAACGAGGTGAAGCAACGTGTGGAAATGGGACTGTGGTCATTTGCCCAGCAGCACTACCAATCAAGCAGTTTCTGCAGACATGATTCTTGTTCTCGACAGCAATGTTGCAATCAGATATGATATAATCCAAAATCCAAACAATATAGACTATTGACATGAACTTATCGAACCAACCCAAACATGCCAAAACTGTAGATCTCACCATTGATAGCTTCGCCATGGTTCGCCCCTTGAAGCCATCCTCTAAAGCGACGGTGGCGTGAATCGTTTCTTTTCTGCTGGCAATCTCGTCCAAGTCGACCTCTCTACGGCCGAGAACCTGGTGACAATGGCCGAAGCCGGTGTCAATGGCCCGAAGAGCTGGGGGTTATGGTCTCTCTCTCTATATATATATATGATATGTATTGAAAGTAGTAACTGAATGTCAATGAATGGTTAATGGATTCGATGTTTAATGGATGTTAATAGATATGTTGAACTATAATAACTGGTTGTTAATGGATGTGAATGGAATTGATAAACCAACTTATGGTCACTATACCGATGGCAGGTCGTTGGAAGATCCCTCACAAAAGGGCATCTATACATGAAAAAAACATAGAACCAAATGGGAGATTTTCCAGCAAACCATATTTGATGACCAAACGCTGCAGGAAGCCATGCTTCTCAACCCCCAAATATAGAGCTTGTCCCTTCAATTCCAATGCATGAAGTATCTGGGATTGTCATCTGATGGGTATGATGATATCTTCCTCACAAAGACAGGATTACTTCGCCAGGCTAACTTCTTCGGTGCATGGATTTGCCACGGTGAAAACTCCAGTTCAGGGATCATCAAGTCAACTTTAAAACAGTGTGCGTTGCGCCGTGTGCGACTGAATCAACTTAGCAGGCAAAACCATCTATAAATATCTATAATGTATATTAATGTATCATGTTGTCCTGTCTTTGATGGGCAAACGACAAAAAATAAATCTTTGGGGCATACCATCAAGCAAGTACAGAAATGAGCCTACTAGCCTCATGGCATCAAACTGGCAACAAATTCATCGGTGTGGGGACCCTCCAGTGCACAGGCTTTCCCATCAAGCAACGACTTCACATGCTGCATCCAGCGATCAATGTTCTGATGCCTGAATGCAGGCATTCAGAAACATGGTTAACAAAGTGGACAGAGTTTGATTACATGTTGGACAATACCGATATCAAAAGATATGCTCTAGGACCCAACATATTCTATATACACTACACCAAACAATTGCGTGCAAAACACCCATACGGTATATGCTTCACTATACACATATGAACAATATTGCAGAATGCTTAAAAACTAAAGCACACGTTTCTTGACTCAGACCCAGATATGGTAATATATTTCACAATGTCACTCATAAGTGCAGGACATCAGCGCGTTTAGGGGATGCACATAACTCATCACATAACACATAGTGAATAGCAACATCCACAAGTGACCCAGGGACCCGCCATAGTATGATGGTCTATTCTCTTTGAGGATGAGGACAAACTTGTCAATTTTGACCAGCTGGATAAGTAGACTTTAAGCCAAATAGCTGGTCATGATTCAGAAAAACCCAATGAGAAGACTTGATTTTATAAACTTCTATCTGCACAGGACCTGATCTAAAAATGCTCCGCAACCTGCCACAACACGTACGAGTCACCGAACCTCACATGTCGATTTTACTTTGGACATGATCCAAAGATATTGATATGCAAGCGCCTTTGAGATAATTGCCTAATGGTTCATCCATTTCTTCTTGATTCTTACATATGTTTACGGTATCCATTGTTTCATCCATGCTAGAATGATCTAGAATGCCCACCCTTTTGTTCATTGATTTCTCTTTGTTGTTTACTCAATTTATCATGATTCCCCAAGACGAGCTCAACACATGCCATACGCTGCCTCTGAACTTCCTTCCCCTGCAGGTCTTTTAGCATGTCCAGGTCCGCCCGCGAGGGAAAGAACCCCAACACCTCGGAGGGGTCAGAGATGGCAGTTACCACTTTCCAAAATCAATGGGAACTTGATGGGGATAATTTATGGGATTTCATTATCAAATTGGTATTTAGTGGGGATATAATGGGATTGTAGTATGGTTATCAGAGTTGCTCCCAACAACCCAGATACTGTCTGGAGGGATAAAAGGGTAAAATGACCAAGTTTCCAGTTTCCACTCGTTTTAAATCATTTACCTATGTGTATACTGTATATTTGTATATATATATATAGTAATGCTTTGGTGCAACCCTGAAAGGTTGGTATTTACATGGGTTTACCACCAATTCAGGGCCGTTTCAATGGTGTTCACAAGATTTTCGAAAGCAGATCTTTTCTTTCTATGGGATGAACCACCCATCAGTTCAGATCACCTGCAGATCAACCCACTCAATTCATCTCTACACCATGGTAGTGATAATCTGCTATAGATCACAACAGAGTGATTGTTTTAGAACTTCTGAGTGGGGATGGAACGATGGAACACATTCACAGTGGGTATTTTCAACAACAATAGACTACAATGAGTCAAACAATGGTATGACTGCAATTAACAACCTGACATCATTAGAACCATCATTGTGAATACATCTGACATCAAATCCCCCATAATACTACGTATATATATATAAGATACTAAGAGTATCATGCTGCTGCTAATACTGATGATGACAATACCATACAATCACTTATATCAGGATAATCAACACAATAATACATACCAATCTGGTTGGTGGTGCCATAATCATCTTGAAAAATCTGAAAGTCAATGGGAAGGATTATCCCATATATGAAATGGAAAATAAAACATGTTTGAAACCACCAACCACCAATGGTGACAAAACAACATACAAATAACACCCATCCCCTTTTTCCCCCGAGCTGCATAGGGCTGATCTTGCAATCTTCGCTCCAACTCCTGGCCGGGCATCCAGGACCCCTGGATTTACGTGATATTTTCGAGGGAAAACCATGGAGAACCTGATTTTTTTTGTAGAAAAAAACATGTGAGAAAACCATGTTTGTTGCCATGAAGCATGGGGGGTTCCAAAAAGAATATATTTGAACTATGAAAATCTATGAAATCATGTTTGGGCATGAGGGACCAGCACCAAATCCGATCACCAAGTGCTTCCGACCCTCCCTTCATCTTTGCCATTTCAAATCATCATAAATCATCATTGATCATCATAGATCATCATTTAGCCTGATTCTCATGAGGATCAACCCCCCCCACGCATGACTCCCTAATATTAGATTATTAGATGATTAACAAGCCTTTGTAATTTATTAATGCGCCTGTTGCCGACGGGGATGCCATTGAGCTCCGTTGCTCCTCCAATGAATCGACAGGACAGGACGCCATGGGGAGTTGCGGCGGCGGGTCCGGCACGGACTTCGAAGGAGGGGCCTGACATGTGGATCAGGTGGTTTGAGGCCAGCAATTCATGCCATTGATGAAAAAGGTGTTGGGTCGAAAGGTCCACATTTCCCACCAACAAAGCATTGTTTCTTATACATATTAAAATAAAAAACAGGACTCATAGGCAACTGTTTGAGTTGGTTGTTTGACTGATAGTCAAGCATAAGGGGGGTTGGCGGTGTGATGTTGGACGACTCGTGGATCATCATTCCATCCTGATTGGACAAAAACAGACATTGTTGTGTCAAAAACATCAAAGTGAAGGCACACCTGTGAAGATACATCTATATAATCCATATCAATCCATATCATACAATTATACAATACTTAGCCATCACATTCCATAACCCATTTACCTCCCGAAAAAAGGTGGTATATTGTATGACATTGTATAGATATGACTAGAATGCATCCCTCCATCAAAATCCCCCGGCACTTAGTCGCCTTGGAAGTCTTCTGCGAAGCACTGCGAACTTCGCGGACGAAAGGCATGAAGTCAAGACCTGGGCTGGGCGGCTGGGCTGCGAGTGTAGCCCACAAAAGAAATGGGGCAATATCAATCCACAAGCACCTAGACCGCCTAGACTCTATATAGACTCTTATCACAACGAAAAGTGCCACCCTCCATCCAAACCATCCCCAGAAAAACTATTTACAGCAAATTCTTGGTACGTTTACCCGCTTGATTAAATTCTTTAGAAAGCAACGCTCAATATTGTTAAGTCAATGTTAAGTCTAAGTATTAGTGGGAAACAAACCAGCAGCTAAACCAAAGCCTACCCAGAATGTGAGGTGTCATCCTACCCACAATATGTCAGCACTGGACGCGTTGAATCTTCAGCGAGAGGATATCGGTTAATATTATATGGCTTTTGGAACTCAAATATAGGCAGTGAGTTCAACTCTTCTTTCTTTCTTTCTTTCCTTCTTTCTTTCTTTCTGTTTTTCTTTCTTTCTTTCTAATGTGGGTAAAACAAACAGAAATCATCACGCAGTCATCACCATTTTTATAGGTGGTATGGTTACCATTCCCAGTCATGGCTGGTTTATTGGACCAAGGAACCCATGAAGGGAACCAGGGCTGTTGGCACCTTCACACCTCGGTGGTTGTTGAACAAGGACCCATGTGGCTTTTCGGGAGTCCTAACGGCAACCTTGCCTTCTACACCAAGCTAACTGGTGGTTATATATGTGAATTAATGGAAACTACTGGACTAAATCTGGACTATATGTTGGCGTCACCTGTTTAGATATATATATATATATATGACGGACTACCTGATTTTAGCATGCTGGGATGTGTGTTTCAGAAGGGCATGCTGGGATTCCAAACCGCCAGTGGAAAGGAAACCGTGTATTTTGCAAAGTCAAACGTTTGTGTCGGAAACGTTCGACCGTTGTTCAATTGATCATGAGAGATAAATCCCCATCATCCTGTCTGTGAAAGTGGTACAGCCGTAAAGTCTCCAAAGAAAACGTCCTATTTAGTTAAGCAAAGGAAGCTTGTGATGGTTTCCGCCATAGAATGCCATAGTGCGGTAGACCATCATTTCTGATGTCGTTCACCATTAACCAGTTGTGGCAAAGCCCTTTCCTCTCAGCACACCCACACCACTCTGCAGCAAGTGGCCGGTAGGTGTCTGGTAAGTTTCCTAAGAGGCTGGAACACTGTCTGCGTTCAAATGTTGAGTCCCAAGCTATCAAGCTATAGATGGAAAAATAACACATTTGCTCAACTTGGCTTACCCGCGGGAAGTGAAGCCTGGCAACGGAACCTGACCCATTTACATGGATCACTCTATAGATGATGTTTCCATAATTATCCATAGTTAATGAATACGTTACAACATAATAAACAGAAACTTTCAGTGAATATGTTGTTTACAAATATCTTTCAGTTATCCATCTGTTTACTGAAAATAAACATATCTGATTATTACAAATACTGGTGGGTGGTTTCAACCCCTCTGAAAAATATGAAAGTCAGTTGGGATTATTCTTCCCAACCAGATGGAAAAATAAAAACATGTTCCAGACCACCAACCAGAATATATTACAACATATCCTGATTTCAACACGATATCAATGGGCTTTCCATTGCAGCTTGGATTCCCACAGAGAGTACTATGGCTAGGGTCCCATGAGAACCTCTGTGATTTCTTGTTGTTTTTAATGACAACCCCCAAACATTATAACGGAGCTCAACATGCTCAACCACCTTCCGATCCGTTGGAAAAACTATCACATTATATCATCACTAATCCAAAATCTGCTTGGTGTTCCCACAATCCCATCAATTCTCAAAAAAATGTCCCTTACAACGCTTACACTCTCATGTTCATGCCGGAAAAGTCAAGAGTTCCAGACCGAGTCTCCAAGATGCAACACATGCATCGCCCAGAGGCCACCAGGGTGGAGTTCAGCATGTGAACGAAGCGTGGCTTCTCCTGGAGATCCGACAAGAAAAAACTGTAGAGATGGGATGAATATCGGAGAGTTGGAATGATTAGCATGATTGATCATGATTGTATATTCATTGTATCATCATGTTGATGAATGGATATGAATGGAATGATTTATCATAACATTAGCATCTACTCTAGTAGAAGGAATATGATCCTAGATTTGGAATGATTAGCATGGATTATAGATTTGCAAGAGTTCACGATTGCATTACTTTAAAAGAAAATCACCTAATCTTCCAAGTCCCCAAAACGTTGAAAAGGCTACGCGTATCACGCCCTGAAGGGTATGGTCATCCCACCTTCCGAAGCCGTGAAAGCTTGAGATTTAGCTGCGTCAAAACAATGTATCCTTCAATACGGTAGTTTCATGTAGTTTCTCTCTAGGTAAGTGCATTGACCTTTATCTTTGATAGCTTTTAAGTAGGCATTGCTAGGCCATTTCTACCTACAAAGCCAGCCCACTATGGACCACAGTAACCCCTTTATGGGGAAACTCAACTGGACCGACTGGACCCCTCAGCGCTGGCTTCATCCTTCACGTTGCGACTGCGGATGTCCAGGGCTCGAGATTGAAAGTCCGTGCAGTTGGAACAGGAGACCAACTCTTTGTACTCGCCCTGGCGCAAAAACGGCAAAATCGCCAGAAGGGGCCCCTTGTTTTGCAAAAAAAAACTCCATGAAACCATCAGCAGGGAGGATAATCCTCAATTTCACGGGATGGATGGTTTTTTTCGTGGAAAATTGGGATAACCAACCATGAACTTTTAACCATAAAAAACACGTTTTACCACCAAAAACAAGGGCTTCCTTCAAAGTTTCCCTTCAATTCTGGGAGACGTTTGTTCAAGACTGACATGCGGATGGACTCCAGATCGAATCAAGAATGGCAAATCCCAGAGCTGGCACAATCTGTTTCATTGACGGGGATATCTTGATAGGAATGCTGGGTGAAAAGGCGTGCAAGCCATCTAAGGGTTGGGGATATGGGGAAATAGAAGCCAGCAACATGTCAATGTGAAATGACAAACCTGTTTGTTTTCTTCTTGGGTAAACGGGAGTTATAAGATCAGAATCGTACAGAGCAATTTGCTCATATCAGATCATGAGAATGTCTACATGGCTTGGAGGGCAGAACGGCAAGCATCAACTTCTCATATACCGGCGATGAATTAAGTTAGATCAAAGGAATTGGAACTTGGGGGCCAATTGAATTGCAGGTAGCAAATCACCATGATACTGTGCATCAGCGAAGTAAAAAAACAACAAGTGTGAGGAGTATCAAAGAATTTCAAAACACCTGAAAGCATGTCGGGCATTTCCCAGAATCTATATATGCCGTTGTTCGGTTTTCCAAATATATACAGGACGCAAACAGGACATGAGACTGTGTTTTGGCCACACACATCCCAACATCTTCAGCATCTGCCTGGCTTGGAAACCAACCTTCCAAGTCAAACTTCATCACCGCCTTGGCTGATTTGGAAAGCTTTCCTGCAACATCTCGGCAATGATCAACCTGGAACCAGCCCCTGGTTCATCCCTAGATGGCCAACACTATGCTATAAATGATGTTCATCCACTTACAATGGAGGTTTCCTAAAATGGGGGTAGCCCGGGTACCCTCAAATCATCCATTTTAGTAGGATTTTCCATTGTAAACCATCCATTTGGGATTACCCCCATTTCTGGAAACCCCCACATCTCAAATCAAACCGTGATATCCCATGTTTGTTCGCTATTCACCAAGGTTTACCGTTTACCCAGTAGATTTGGCCCCGATGTTCCACCAGTGTTCCATCCAAGCAGTGAACATTGAGGCGATGGGTTGGTAGGGGGTCCAAACGAGTCCAAACGAGTCCAAACCGACAGGTATCTCAAGCAACTCAGTTAAGTGATGGGTTCATGGAAGTTTACCGTAGATATACCCTCTGGTTATTTAACATAGCCATGGAAAATGGCCCATTTATAGATGATTTTCCCAGCTAGAAACCTCCATTTATTAGGGATTTTCCATGGTTATGGTAAATAACCAGATGGTACCCACCTATGTATTTTTTGTGCCTTCCAGTATTTTTCCAGTGAATCAACCCCAAAACTGACCCGAAAACTGGCGTCCCTCTGAGCATACCAACCGCATCATTGAGTTCACCAGAGACCACCTTCACCACACCTCAGCCACCGATGACCGCCTGGGTCCGGGGAGGTTTAAGGATTTGGCATGATTACCCTCTGGTTATTTAACATAGCCATGGAAAATCCCTTATAAATGGAGGTTTTAATGGGGAAATCATCTATAAATGAGCCATCTATACCATGGCTATGCTAAATAACCAGAGGGCAATTGCCAATGGGCCCACAGAATTAGGAACTTTAGGAGCTTCAACCATCCATTGCACGTGTTATTACATGTTTATCATGTTTGAATATGTTTGAGCCATTCCCATTCAAGAAACAAATGTGGAACCGACAATAGAGAACCAACAGGAAAGTAACCAAAGAAATCTGTTGTGTTCTTAGCAAATCAGAGGTTGGCTTGAGGAAACGTGAAGCTTACTGACCAAACAGAACCAAACATCATGGACGTTTGAAGACCCAGGATGGTTCGCAACTTGGTAGCTTTGCTAAGATACCCTGAAGATTCCGCTACAGCAAAGACCCAACCTATCCACCTAAGTTTCACCAAAGGGATACCATGTCTGGATTTGTGTGGAAAGAAGGTACCCCAAAATTCCAGAGATGAGCATCATCTTATATAGTACCACGATGGAAATCTACTGCAATACTGCAACATATTTAGGATTAATCCCTCGTTTGGTCAAACCCACCCACATCATATATTGTTGGATGGTTCCGATTATTTCCAATTCGTTCCCATTATATGTATCCATCAGATTGCATCCCAAGATATGCCATGATATCCCCATAAATTTCGGTTGGTTTACACAGCCCACAGCAGGAACCTGTCTGTGGCTCCGACGGTAGGAGATGCCCAAGGCCTCATAGAAGTCCTGTGCTATGCGTAGCATCTCCAAATGCCTCGGGCTCAAACGGCCAGTCTTTTGAGTGTGTCTCAAGATGCGGGATATCAACAATTGCAGTTTTCACTGCAGAAAATAAGGATACAGTAAACGAGAATAAACCAAAAGAAAGCATAATTCCAATTCTTAAGACAAGCCCGTCCTTTGCCGCGAAGGCCGCAGTACCTGTTTCGCTGTGTTGCAACTACATCACGAGACTTTGCTCGTGTCCTAGACATCGCGTAGGATGCCTTCGAAACTCAGCCACCAGGGATTGAACTCCCCGGAAATCACATTCACTTTGAAACGGTGAGTGAGGACGTCACATCTGCATGGAACACTTCTATCTTTCACTATGCCAGTGTGATCCTTTGAGGAGAACGCCAAATGCCAGTCTGAGAAATCTCCAGCGCAGAAGATCTCAATGTGAAGGTCTGATCTCAGTGCTTCTTTAAACCTAACAGGGGCAGTGAAATGTCTAATCTAAGTATCACATAGCATCATCAACAAATGGGGCTATGGTATATATATATATATGAATAACAATTAAAAATTGAAGGATATATTTCGAATATGTTTGAATCCTCAATATGGGGCATTGACCAACCCTGCCTGAGGGCAAGCAGGTGCAAAGCAAACTGGGTCAACTGATATTCGATCCAGCATTCTGCTCGCAGTGTTGCACCGCCAAAAGGACAACCACCACTTGCAAGCTCGTAGAGATTCTTGTAAGCGTTGGCATCCCTTGAAGACAGAGAAACGGAGACCCAGTTGGCCAAATAGATCTTATGCTGATAAACCCAATCCTTCGATTTGCTTAATGGGGCCCACAATCATATTATATACATCAGCTCCTTTTCCCCCAAACGGTGGACTTACCACTGGGAAAATCAAAAAGGCACAACTTTCAACAGGAATCATTGCCGTGAGAATGCAGCAAAGAAGGAATCCCTCATGTGCTCCGGCACCGTTTCCGATGGACACAAACTTGTTGATGAGAGTCCTTTCCAAGGTTTCTATATATATAATATATATATATATAATATATATATATATATATATATTATATTATGAGACCGACCCTCGCCCAAACAAAACTAGTTGAAGGACCACCATTATATGCACCAAAATATCAATGTCACTACTTCACCAAAATATTGTTCATTATAATTCCCCAGTTGGGTTCGTCAAAAAAAACGCATATCCCAAAACTTAAATTGTTTATCAGCGCATGGTTCCTATTAAATGACCATTTGATGAGGGTACCACATGTTCAAACAGACCCAGTGGTCGAATACCCAAAGGACCACCCGTAGGGGTCCAACCTGAAGGTGCCACATGCAAACAATGGAGGTGTCAATAGCAAAACTGGAGGTTTCACCTGCAAAAAACATGTTTTTTCACATGGTTAACCGCAAAAAGTACTATCATTGGATTCCCGTAGATATCCAATGACCAGCCACACATCCAAAAAAAAGGAAGTCAGTTGGGATGATCGTCCGGTTTCCACCGCACGCCGCAGCGAAGGGCATGAAACAACACTGGATATACCAAGGCCTGAAAAAATGGGTACGACGTACGGAACCACGAGTTGCGTTGCTTTTATGCGTTTTGAATAGTAGGTTTGATGTTTTTTTTTGCATTGGAGCTTCACTGCCCTTTAAGTTGTTTACAGAGTGAAGGCCATATGAAAGACAGTCTAATGCTCAGCAACATACCGCCAATGTCAGCCTGTCCTTCGACATGTTAGAAGTTATATGGACTTCAGCTGTCCAATAACCATCGCCAAAAAGGATGGCCCAAAATAATCCGAAAACTATATCTAGCAGTGTTGGGTGAAGCTCCTCGTCTAAATCTAAGTCTTCGCCCTTCAAATTCCCACTAACTCAACCTCAAACGCTCATAACTTTCGGGGCTACAACTTTTGAATCTTTTGACACGTTGTATTGGTGAACAAAATATGACTCACCAGCTCCGAAAATTAGAAAACCCCACTCCCAGTCACTGAAAACCTGAAACACCACCGTTTTCCTCAGCCCAAACATGCAAAAACCACTGTTGCCAGGACACCGCCATCCCCAGTGCCATCCCCCGCGCCGTTGCTGGCGTCTCCGGGAACGGCCGCCGCGGCCACGGAGTCCTCCACCACGGTGAAGTCGCCGCGGCCGAAGGATGGGCCCAGCTGCACCAACTGGGGGCGATCCGCCATGGAGGGATGTCAAACGATGTCAATGTGTTGCTGCACTGTTTTTTGGCAGCTGAAACTGTAGGAAGTTGAAAGTCGTGAATGATGGTTCTGCTTGAAGATTCGAGACCTGGAGTTGAATGGTGTTGGAATTCAAGTGAGGAATGAAACAGCATTGCTCAATGTCTGATCATCTTTGGAGGACAGGCGCGGCCCTGAGGAGTATACAACACTGTCTAACCACGTCATTTCGAAAGGAGAACGATGTTGACACTCCCCCCAAAGAGGGATCACCATCTAAACAGATGAGATAATATAGGGGAAACCATAACACATAGAGAATATATATATATTTATATATATATATACAGTGTATATATATATAATATGAAATTATATGACTATATAGAGAATCCCATACAGTTCTTGGTATGCAAGGATTTCATGCCAAAAGCAGTGTTCCCGGGCAACATCTGCTTCATGGCAAACATGGACTCAGCGAGTAAGGACTCAGTAACCTACTAACCAAAGGTTGGCAAACTGGTTGGTGGTTTCCCAAAAACATAGAGGGAACCCAAAAAAAAAGATCATCCAGAATTGTTCATTTTGAACGGAGAAACCAATGGTTTGGGGCACCACTCTTTTAGGAAACGCCTCCCTCCCGGCTCCATCTGAGAGGTCCCTGCATCTCTTGAGACTTCTCATGGTCTCCGCTGGTAATGCAGAATTGTTCCACCTTTTCAAACCTCAAAGGTCTCGAAATCTAAGCAAGAAGTTTTCGACAATGGGTAGTAGAAAAGGGGTGGTAATCATATTACTAGCTCTCAAGATCTGAATGTTTCAAGTGGAAGTGGAGCCCCAGGGGTGCAAGTACCCGATGGCAAAACATGTGGTGGCCCTCATAAGCTTGAATGATTCTTAGCTTCAAATAAGGTTTGATATGTTGGGGGGAGGACTTCAGCGGTCAGAAATTGGCTGGGAATAACTTTGGAAGAGTTAAGAGCGGATCTAAAAACGGGTGTGTTCGGACCCAGCACTTGGATGGAGTTTAGATGGCAACGTGACAGGATCATCCAAGCCCCCGAATATTTGTGAAAGCAACCTGGAGCATGGCTTAGGACATGATCTTATCCTCGAAGATTGCCATCTTTGATTTGTCCTGTTAGTCATGACATCATCGTGTATGCCGGTGCCTATCCCAGTTGATTGATTATGTGTGATTCTTTGTAGATGCTGTACATCCCCACAAACTTTTGGCTCACATAGTGAATAGCTTGGCTAACCTGAGACACCCCTTTGAACGTGTACTGTACCCTCCGCTAATCAAACATGGCAATGAAAAACAATCGATAGGAAAATTATGGAAAATCACGGATATTTCAATTTGATGGACAGTCATATAGTATTATAATATATATATATATATTATAACCATATTATATATATATAACTAGCCATATTAACTACCCATTAAAATAAGCGTCAACCCCTGGGAGTGCGTCGTTTTTTTGTGGATCTTCCCTGTGGATCTTCCGAGAAGCTGATGAACTCGGAAAATCCCTTTGTTTTCCTTGCCAGCCTTGCCTAGCTCTGTCCTGCGATCTCCAAAAAAGGGAGTGCCGGGAGCGGAGCCCCAAAAAAAACAGGAGCTAAGGCATCAAAGGCATCAAATTCAATCACCTTCACTAGCTTCACTAGTCACTGATCAACTACTTCATTAAATCATTGATCACACCAAATTTACTAAGTTTACATGTATGCAACTGTTGGTGGTGTCCTGCAGGTTGACCATTCCTGACAAAACTATTGAGTGATGGCTGAGAAGTCAGCTCTTGGTCGATGCATGTCGATGCTATTCGAGATCCAAAGATTCACCAAAAATAATATCAATCCCAAATGTAGACCCCTTGTATACTAGCTACCAAAAGATATGCAGTACATATAATATTATGTTTCTTTATAACGAATATGACCATTGAATATCTTAACAATTACTTAACCAAAAACAAGGATCTGAAAGATAGGTCCAACTTTCCAAAATGTTGGGGTCCATTCGTTGTGGACATCTGCGGACGTAACGTCCTGAAACAGGGGGAGATGCCAGCGTAGCGTCGAGGAAGCGTTTCTTCCTCCAAGATTTCCTTCCTCGGTTTTCGCTGGTGATCTCTTTGAAAGGGGGGGGGACTCTCCCAGCTCGTGCTCGTGACGTGGTACATCCAGCCTCTCGCAGCATCTTTTTGAGTCTCAACCTACTCAGAATGAGTTGGAAATATGTGCAATATGCCATGTCTATAGGTACTTGGACAATAATAATCATCCCACTTTAGAGTCTTTGGAGATCAGCAACCCATCTGTGCATAGGATATCTCGAAAGGAAACCACCAACCATGGCTCTTGGAATCAACTTCCTTACTTGGTGCACCCAGTAGAGGTAGCTTACAATCCAACTTTTGACGTAGTACAACCCATTACAATCATCAACCAACAACTGTTGGTTATAAATCGCATTATATCTCATTCTATCACCATTAAATCCACATTACCTAGAAAAAGGTAATAATCATCAACCAACTTACCATAAAAAAAATCTGCAACCATATGTTCGCTGCATGAACCCTCATAATTGCTGGTTGAAACGCTTATAAAACATATATTCCCATATATTCCCCATATGTTTCCCATATATTTCATGGTTGGGTCCCTATCCCACCACCCCACTGCCGTGGCTTTCCCAATGTCAACTGAGCTTCGAGTGCAGCGCACACAGCGGCTGCTCGGAGGTAGCAATCAAGTACTGCGCAGGACATCCATTGGGTGAAACCCCAATTCAATGATAAATGTGTTTATTTTTCTATATATATATATTATGATATATATATATAATATACGTATATACAACTATATAATTACTATACATATATATATATGATCTACGTTTATAGTAATGGGCCCACCAAAAAAACAAGTTTCAGAGTAATTTCAAATAGTTTAGTAGGATTGTACTTTTCTAAATCTATTTTTTTTGGGGGTTGCTGTGTACAAGCGTGTTTTTGTCGGTCAAACCCCCTATTTTGGCCAGGGAAATCTATTAGTTTCCGCGTTTGACGTTCCCTTCAATCCACGGACCAGTGGTTCATGGCTATTGGACATGAACGAACGGAGTTTACTTCAAAACAGTTCAACATGAGATCAAACTCCAACAGTAGAGATTCCACCAACCAGACATTGGAATTCAACCAATGAGAGTTTGTGTATTCAAAACTAAAGGTGGGGATTAAAGCAACTGTGATGATGAGGATCCAGCCAATTTGACTCACACCTTGCTAGCCTTGGATAGACCTTCCAACAGTGTGGCTGAATTATGATACTGTAATTCACCAACCCAAGCAAGTTGGATTATTGATAATAATAAACCCAACAAACTTTCAAAATCGCAATAAGTCCAACCAAATGAACATTCCAATCCAAATTAAGATCATTTTGGAACAGTTCCCTTCATCCTAGCCATTCCTAAGCCCTTCATGACAGCGCGGTCCTTCTCTGCTTCATCTTCTCCTGCTGGAGCTGATACATCCCTAAGATTATAGGAACCCCCAAAAAGATAGAAGGATTGGACAACTGAAAATATGAGGGAACAAAACCATCATCGAACTAACATTTTTGGGAAATAAGTGGAAATCCATCCCTATCTTTTCGGGGCTTGCTATTTATATCTGCGGTTTGGGAAACATGCACAGAGTACCACTGCGCCCCCACTAAGGTCTTTTTAAAGTTTTCACAGTCGTTGAGACGTCCTCCGACTGTTGCAACTTGGCTCAAGGGCCAATCAACTGACTGGCTCAATTTACCGAGCCCAACTTGGAGTGAAAAGGTGCACTTGCATCTGCCTCTTGGTGGGGACCTCCGGGAAGGGTCTCGGTCATAGTCTGAAACCCGTGGGTTATGAGCCCAACCCCAACGCTGCCTTGAAGCAATGTCGAGCAGCGACTTCACTCAGCGTCGTCGACAAGAACGCCAAGTTCAAGCGGCTGCTCATGCTGAAGAAGTACAACATGGGACCCATGGACATGGAAAAGAAGAACGCGCGGAAACGGCAGACCAAATGCTGGACCGGCTTCTGGAGGAGATGGACGCACCTGGACAAGCACATGGGGAAAGAACAGGGACAAGATCATCAGACTCAACCCGAAGATCACTGATGGAAGGGGAAGTTGGAGAAAGTGTGATGGCACTGACCGGTGCTGGGGGAAGTGGAGCCCTAGTGCAGGTTGCGGCGGTCCGGGCTGGAGCGGGCGAACGAATCGCCCAGAATCCGGCTGTTGCGGAAGAAGTCGCAAGACCAGTGTCCTTACCACCTGAAGAACCTCCTGGACTTGAAGTGGTACGAGGAAATGGGAGTGGCGGTCTGTTGTCTGGTTTGACCCCAGGTGTGAATAGTCTAACTCTTTCGGGAGTGCCTATGACACAAACACCAGTAGTTGCCCGGATGTCTGAGGGATTTCGTGAACCACCTGTTGTGGGTAATCGAGAAGAAGGACAGGGTGGAAAACACCAAAGCTCAACTGAAGTGGGTGGAGGTGCGGCTGCTGTTGTGGAAACCGTTGCTCTTTTGGAGCGACCGGGACGTTCACCTGTTGAGTCTCCTGAAGATGCACGCGTTAAACAATCGGTGCCAGCGGCACCAACAGGCTCACCTATGATCTACCAGCCGGCGGGAGCACCTGTGGTGTATACTGCAACTGGTGGAACACAGGGTTCGCAAGTAGCTGGGATGTCCCAGCAATCCATGTGTGCTGGAGTGCCACCTACGGGAATGATGCCTCAGTGGGGAACGGCGGTTGTGGATCCTGGGATTGTAACCGGGGTCATGGCTGCAGAGGAAACGAATCCATGGAGTGCTGCCAAGCGAGTGGAAGCTCTAATGAGCAGTCCACAAACTCCAGTGAAGGAGCTGACTTATCCCACAGTGTCGCAAGACCTGATTGATCGGGCGGATGCAAGGGAGAAAGAGAAGTATGAAGAGTTGAAACAACGAGCGATGGAATTCATCCAGCGGGGCAAGACTGAGATCCAACAAGATCGAGAAAATTGGTTAGCCACGCGGGAAGAGAAACGTGCCCTGGAACGGGTCCAAGAAACAGGAGGAGGTCACAAGGGCTCTCAGTCGAGTGGGGGGTCTTATCAAACCGCCTCTCCGGAGCAGAACATCGGGCAGTGTTTTCCTGTAGGGCCACCTCAAGGTGTCCCACCCCAAGGACAACAGGTGCTAGATCAGGCAGTTCCGGGAGTTCAACATCATCATGATCAAGATCTTCAATTGAAGGCGGGAGGTCCGATGTGGCATGCGCCTCCTGCGCCCAGGGTCGAACAAGGTCTTCGGCCGATGGATGTGTATATGATCAAGGGTGGATGAATGGAATGCCGCAGGGAGCGGCGCCGAGACCACCAATGGGAGCTCCCTGCATGGGAGCCATGGAAAACACAAGACCCTGTTTTATGGGTGAACAACCCAATCAATGGTATAATCCTCAAGCCCAAGTTGGAGGAGCACCTGCAGGACAAGATCATCGACTTCATGGAGGTTTTGCATTTCCGGGTGGAAACACCGGACCTATGGGTGGTTGTGGTTGGCCGGGGGGTCCACCGCCGGGGCAGTATGGAAATCCGGGACAAGCACCTGGTCCGCCAGGTGGTCATCAAGGAAATCCAGGACGAGCTGTACCGCCACAACAACAACAACAACAGCAAGTTGTAGTCCAAGCAGGACCTCAGGCAGGGGGAGAAATACCAGGCGAGACTTTAAGATCGGTCGAATTGCCGAAGCTGGACAGAAACGCAACATCTTTGGACTTTGGAGACTGGCTGACAGTTGCCCAACAGATGATTGGGGATGTGAGCTACACCTCAGAGCAATGGTGGGAAGTAGTGATGACTGCTGTTGAACAAGCATACCACCACTGGTTGCAAGCGGATCCACTCATGAGGCTCCGGATGGCGCCTGTGATACCTGACATGGCCCGTAGGTGGCCTCGCACAGAGAAACGGGTGGTGGGTATGCTGCTTCAAGCCGTCCCCAAGGACATCTACGAGGACCTTGTGGCGAACAGACACATGTCAGCGGGTCAAGTCATGTTCAAGCTGTACACCGTCTTCCAACCTGGGGGACAAGTGGAAAGAACTGCCCTGCTGCAAATGTTGGTGGACTGGAAATGTCCATCTAATAATGCTGCAGAGATGGTCAACTCCATCCGGAAGTGGAGAAGATGGGTGGTTCGTGCCGAAGAACTTCAATTGGTTTTGCCCGATCCTCTGGTTTTGGCCGGAGTGGTCGCAAAAATGAGTGATGCCTTGGCCAGATTGGGGGGAGCTCAAGCTGCCTACCGGTTGTCTTCGGTGAGACAGCATTTGGGCATAGATCTCCGGCCGGGAATGCAAGAGATCCGAACGTTTTCGGAACTTCTTCAAGCGGAGGCTAGTGAAATGGCTCTCCGTCAACCGGGGAACACAACACAGGGTCCAACGACTAAGCCCAACAATGTAGTGGGGGTGAAGTCTATGAGTGGACCGGATTCATCTGGAAGTCCACCAAAGGGAGCTTCGAAGGGAAAACCAGAAGACGCAGCAGGTTCTTCCACCGGAAGGAGGGGGGAGAAGCCCGAGCTGCCGATTAACGCCGCTAATGTGGTCCATAAGGTGGCGTGCGTCAACTGGCTGACTGAGAAGGGATGCCAATATGCAGAACGATGCCGGTTTATGCACACCGTTTTGGACTCCAAAGATGGCCGATGTTTCAACTGTTCTGGAAAGGGACACTCCCGACGTGATTGTCCGGCGGGAAAACGAAGTGAGTCACGAGGTCCACAAGGTGGATCTGAAGAACCAAAGGTGGCCAAAACCACTAGAATCCGCTCAAGATCTCAAGAGAGGAAAAATGGTTCTGGAAAAGAAGGAGGTGCTGCTCAAGAACGTCCTGAACCTGTCGTGAAGATCAACCCGAGGGATGAATCCACGGTCACTATTACCCCTGTACCAGAGAAGTCCGAAAAGGTTGTAGGAGAAGTCACCAGCCTTTTGAAGGGTCTCAATGGACCGGTCTTGAAATCGGTGGGGCATGGTGGGGATCATCTCGAAGTCGAGTTTGATAATGGAACGGGTTTATTGGATGGTGGGGCGACACACCCCTTGAGACAGGGATCAACCGAGGAGATCAAGAACGCGGTGCAGGTCACTGTGGAACTCGCACATGGAGCTGCTCAGCTCTATCAAAATCCTGTGAATGGAACCCTCTTGTCGGAGGGACCGGTGGAACCAATTGTACCTCTTCGAGGTTTGGTGGAATTGGGATACACCATCACTTGGTCCCGTGCAGGATGTGTTGTGAAGCATCCACGACTGGGAAACATAGAATGTTGGTTAAGGTCTGGGTGTCCAGTGGTTCGAAAGGACCACGCTCTGGCTCTGATCACTGAGATTGAGCACATGGAAATGGAAAAGAGGACCAACCATCGGCTCACCTTGGAAGAGCCCACGGAGAAGACCAAGAAGTGGTGGGGATCACGATTTCCGGAAACACCGGACAGAATTTGGAATTACATGCGGGGTCAAGATGAAGAAGATCCGCAAATGAACCATGATTTACCATGGAACCGGCACAAAAGAAGGAGGCTGCTCACCTCAAAAGGGGTTATAGTCCACCTTTTTGCTGGAGAAAGGGCGAAGGAGTGGCGAAAGAATCCCATAAATGGGATTGAAGTCATCACTTTGGATATCAATGAAGGTCGAAATCAAGATCTACACAATCCGGGAACATGGAGTTTCCTTTGGAAACTTGCAAGCCTGGGAAAACTTCTTGCTATCATCGGGGGACCTCCCTGTCGGACGGTCAGCCGATTGAGGCAGAAACAACCGGGACCAAGACCATTGCGTGGACGTTTCCATGACCGGTATGGTCTACCAGGATTGACAGACCGGGAGAAGAACTTGGCTGATTCAGATGCAGCACTGCTGCTGAAACAAATTGGCCTGTTCATAAGGTCTGAAGAATGCCGCGAGCGTCATCGTGTGAGAACCGCTTTCCTCTTGGAGAGCCCACAGGATCCGTTGACGTATGTTCCACAAGCTCGCGAAGAAGAAAGTCCAAGCTTTTGGGCATGGCCGGAGTTAATGCAGCTGCTCCGCTACCAAGGAATGGGTTTGGTATCCTTTGATCAAGGGTGCTTTGGGCACTCACGACGGAAACCGACCACGTGCCTCACAAACCTGGAGGACATGAGAGACTTGGAAGATCAACGCAGCACCAAGCACTCCGAGGCCCTGCCAAAGGACATCAAAGACCGTTGCCATTTGTCGTCCACCTGGGCGGTATGGGCACCGGGATTAAGGGCTGCCATCCGAGAAGCGCTTCACCGACATCTCAAACGGGAAGGCGATGAAACTGCGGGTGAAGAGCCACACTTGGCCAAGATGACGTCAGAGGAAGCCTGGGAAGCCCATATTCGTCAAGGCCATCGACCATATAGAAGGGATTGTAGGACTTGTGTTTTGGAAATGGGTGC